TGGTTTTGAAATAGCCAAATGTTTCAACTTATTATTTTCAAATTATTTTTCTATTATATTTTCAGAATTATTTTCTTAGTGATGTTTCAACAGGTTTGGAAAGTGAATCAAAGTTACTCTTTCAAAATCTCGAGCAAAAAGAGATTATTTGTTTTCAAATAAAATAACCTCTCCTAAAATTTAAAAAAAAAAATTATTTTTCCTTTGCCCTGTAGTTTTTGATTAAGATAATTAGATGAGATGCAACGTCTACCATGAAATAAAATTTTTGGATCCACTGATCGTTCGTTAATTCTGCGTGATAAGCACCCTTTTCATGAAGAACTCCTTTAACATCTGTTAATAAGAGCGCGGAACGTTTCAAAAAGTTTCCTCTTGATAACCAACTTACTTTATTAGATTTGCGCACTCACTCTGCGTTTCAACTAAGAACTCTTTAAACTGGCTAAGATTAAGAGCTTTAGCTATAATTGAGTTGATAATCTTAATCACCAATTATATAACATTTTAAGCAGAATACAGGTTCTCATGAAAATGTCTGCGCACAAAGCATTTCTTGATCAGTGATATAACGGTAAGTAAATATTTCGTGAATGATATTTTTTCTTTCAAAATAGAAATAAACCGTTTTTACGCCGATCATACTTTTCGTTCCGGCTGTTGTAACTTACACAATTTTATTGAATATGTTTTTCATTGCATCCAGTTACAGCATTTGCCAGACAGTTTCAATCCATTAATTGTCGAAATTAAGAGTCATTTAGAAACTTTGAGTTCGTATTTAAATATTAAACTACATTGAGTTAAAACCCATATAGGCTTTATTGGTAATGAGAGGGCCGACAGCCTGGCCAAGCAGGCGATCTCAAATGTCAGTGCAATGGATATTGAAGTAGCATGTTCGAAGAGAATTGCTATTCGAAGAATGAAAGAATTTTACATTAACACATGGAAAATACAGTGGTTCTCTTCATCTAAAAACAAAGTATTTATGGAAATATTTAAATCACGAAAAATGAAATGTATGAACAATTGAAGTTAATCAGGTTTTAATGGACATGGTAGTTTCCGTTCTATTTCAACCGATTAACTTGCAGGAAAATAAACTTGCATAGTGTCAGGTTGATGGTGTGCTAGGCATTTTGTGGTTGATTGTAGTTTAACAGCATCTATTAGATTTTTAACATTACTGATTTTAATGCAAGTGTCATTAATTTTAAAGTTTTTAAATCATATTCTATGGCTCTAATGAAGTTTATCAATGAAAATAGGGCGCTGGTAGGAATCTTCTGTTAAAATTGAATTCTGTATTTGTGTGGGTTTTAGATATATGTGGTGTTCTATGTTGTGAATTTGTGTTTATGTTTTTTTTTTTTTTTTTTTTTGGTTTGTTTTGTTTGTTGATTGGTTTGTAATTTTGTGTTAAATGTGCTTACTTATTTTTAATTTAGTATTTTTGTTTGTTGTTTGGGGTGGCTGGGTTACTGGATGCCCTCGTTTGTGGATATGCGGGGCCCATTCTTTTGAGCTATGGGGACACTCGTGTCCAGGTGGGCTGAAGGGAGACTCCAATTCTTACAGCATTTGCTATATCTGCTCCACGTGTTTGACCTTTGAGTGGCAATAATCCTAAACGTTCTTCTTTGGAACTTACAGCGAAAGTAAATAGTATAAAAAGTGAACCTTGCTCTGTATCATTTATGTAATAAGACTCGTCAGCTGCTATAGATAAAGATGAAAATAATTTCAGATCTTCAACTTGCTGTTTGGTTATATTCGAAGACATTCTGTTCTATCTTTCACTGTTTTAGTAGACAATGGTGCCTCTTTTTTTTTTTTATGATACCAGCTTCATTCTTAAAATCTCGAAATAGCTCTTTGGATGCATTTATAAAACAACTTTTCATGCATACGCCGTTTGTTTCCCTCTTTTAGCAATCTCTTGACTAATCACGAAACTGGCAATATTAACATTATTGAAAGATTGCGTCCAGTAATTAAATAATTAAATAATGTCCAGTAATAAATGTGTCCTTATAAAACTCCAGTAAAGAAACATTTTCAAATTTTTCTTTCAGTTGAATGTCACTTTGTAGCTAATACATCATGACATACTAATATGTTTTTGTTTAAATTTTTATTTTAAAATAAATGCCAACGAATCGATTATATATGAATCAAATTCAAAAATTTATTTTTTAATAAAAATGAGTAAATTTACATATTTATTATTTACATATTTATTATTAATTTCTATGTTTCTTTTCATTTAGTTTGTATTTCATAAAGATGGGAGAAATTCATATTAATGAGATGGATGAAATTTGCTTTTGTTGAACAAACAAATCAATATGGGGTTCAACAGACGAGGTTGCAATTCTTAATGCATTTTCAAGGATGTTTGTCAATGATCTTTGTCCTATTTTTGTTTTTTGTTTGCTTCATTCTTGAAAATATAGGTACTGCCAAAAGCTGAAAACATTAATAAAGCATAATTGTGAAAATTAGGATATTTATCGCGGGGTAGGTAATCTTTATAAAACTCCAGTAAAGAAACATTTTCAAATTTTTCTTTCAGTTGAATGTCACTTTGTAGTTAATACATCATGACATGTTTTTGTTTAAATTTTTATTTTAAAATAAATGCCAACGAATAAATTATATATGAATCAAATTCAAACATTTATTTTTTAAATAAAAATGAGTAAATTTAAATACTTTCATAATTTGCGCTTGGGCCGCACTTTAGACACCCATGGTCTAGAAGCTAAAAATCCTGATATTTTGAAACAAAATTTCATTTTTACTTTATTTGGTTTCCCATTCAAGTTAAAATTGTATACATTAATTCAAAGCATTTCATTAGTTAGAATTTGGCATATGATAATTACTGTGATAGCACAACTTGATGTATAATCAGTACAACCCGAACTCGGTACCAAAAAAAAAAAAAAAAAAAAAAAAAATTCTAGGAATAACATTAGCGAATATATTTCTATGCTTGTGTAAAATCTGATGGCCTTTGTGTGATATTTTCAAGATATTCTTGCTTTTATGCCCGATCTGGCAAGTACTATTTTACTCAATTAGCCACATTTGGCTCCGGGCCATCTTTGCCGACCACTGCATGAAGTTATAAGCTATATCTCCCGCCTTCCTAGCGTGCCTTCCTGGTGCAGTGGTTCTGCACTCTGAGCCGGTATTCCAGAGGTCCGTGGTTGGATTCCCGGAGAAGGCGATTGCTCATTTTTCATCTTGCCTGCTTCCAAAAAATACCTAATGTCTCTACAAAATAATGATGATTCTACTCGTGGATTTAGAACATTGCGGCATATTTATTGCTCGCATCGCCGAGAATTTCTAAAGCGCGAAGTTTCGATTCTAACTGTCATAAAATTTTCTCAAAGAAAGCTTTTTATCTGAACTTTCTCTAAAACTAAAGAAAGTAAATCTCTAACCTAACCTTCTGTTGAGAGATCTTATTTATCATAACGCTCTTGTAATTGATCTAAAACTTTGATGTAACTCTCCGCCCGGTCTGAACAGCAGACGATAGTCGTTTCATTGATTGCAGTAAATGCGCATATTTGTCATGATCGTCTAAACTTGGATTACTACCAATCTTCTTGAACTGACCCAAAACCCTAACCAGTTTTTAATATTGCAATCAAACAATGGCAGCTTTAGTTTTGGATAACGAAGAACTGTGTTTTTCGAAACATCATTAACGGGCACAGCAGAGTTGCGATCTACATTAATTAAAATAGCGGAGATTTAATCTTAGTATACGGCACACATGCGGTTTGGAGTAAACGAGTCATTTTGGTGTTGGCGACGATTTTCCAAATCATGCCTAGGCCGTACCGCATACTAGGATTTTTACAAGGGCTGAAATCTTAGATTCTAATACCCTCCGTTCATTCCTACCTAACTCCTCACAGTCTAGCATTTCTCTTCCAAGAATTTTAATTTCGAAAGCTTTTGGTTCCCGAACTAAATACTTTCAACTTCTTCATAATCATTTAAATAATGTAAATAATCTTCTAAACCGAGTACACTTAGCTTTCAATGCCTCAATCATAAAAAATAATTAAATAAATAATTTACTCACGAGTGATCGTCCTGTTATACAAAGCCAAATGTTCCAAAAAGAACTCTTCTTTCTTCGAATCAGCTCACAAAACAATATAAACTCTAACAAGAACTTAAAAATAAGAAAATTTGAAATAAGGACATATAAATAAAAGATAGTAAGTTTATTCTCTTTTTTTCGAATCAACCATCAACTGTCTCCCGCCATACATCGCTGTTGCCAGAAAAAGTATCTAACATGAAAAATGATTATTGAGCGTTAGAGATATAGGTGCTAGCACAATAAATTAATTTTTTTCCCTGGAGACGTAGTTCTTATTGAGAGTGATAATATTAAATACACTGAGCGACCTTTAGCCATTATTATTACTAAATTACTGCCTGGAAGATATAACGCCATTAGACTTCTCTATGATTGAAAACTGTAAAAGGACAACTTTTACGTCCCGTAAAAGAATATTTATCATTAGAAATGTCGTAAAGTTGATTAGAAGATCTAAAAAATAATAGTAATGAAAACGATAGAGTTGAAGGATGTTCGGAGGAAAAAAGCGAAAAAAAGATGTAAAATTCGTAAAAACCAGTAATGGAAGAGAAGCTAGGATTGAGAAAGATAGAACCTGTTGATTATATGAAAATTTGAACTTTAATTAGTTCTTTTATCTCTTCCTTTTAATTTTAAAATTTTGTATTTAATTACCAAAGTTCTATTCTCTAAATTTCTAGTAGGTAAAGTTATTTACTGACAACTTAAGATGGGAGCATATTGGATTTCAGAAGACATGTATCCGAATTTTGTACGTATTTTCATTTTATTTTATTTATGTTTTTCTGCGTCTAATAATTATTGTAATTTTTGTTTCTCCGAAGTGGCAACAAAACAGCTTTTATAATAAATGAAAATTATGTGCGTGTAGTAGGCTAATTAAAAAATGTTTGTTATTTCTAGGAAAAATGTTTTATGCAAGATCAAAACCTATTTTCAAACATAAACGATATAGAATATGTTTATTAGTCTCCTGATATGCTGCAAACGTAACAGCTTATTTTGATCAAGGAGGTTTCCTTGATTTTGACACGTAAGAGAATTCGTAGATCATTCTCAGCAACATAAGTCACGCCGCTCTAAGCGCTGCCCTGCACAGTGCTATATTTGTTTTAGTCGCTCTGCTACTAGAGGGCGAGCATTTCGCTTCTGTCGAGAATCCGAAATCATTTTAAAATCATTAGTTTAAAACATGGCGTCGTTGATGGACTCGTTTGAGCAGCAATATGCTACTCTGACAGCTGATATTACTTCAAAAACTAGTCGTCTCCCAAATTTATCGGGAGGTGAGTTATCTTGAAAGATATTAAACTAAAATGTATTTAAAGTACATTCTTGCATTTTTTTTTTTTTTCCTCTTGCAATGAGCCAAATGTCAAACTGCTGATATGAAATGCATTGAATGCTGTCAAATTTTTCTCTCTCCTTCCTCACTTTTTCAATAATTAATGTAACTACAAATTGTTTTAAAATGCAAAACACCATAACTATTCAGCGCATAACGTGCTATATTAATTGTGTTTCCTCAAAACTCGTTTGCCCCCCGGTCCACATATTTATTGGTTAATGATACGGGGGTTATACCTTTTTCGATTTTGTTAAAATATCAGATTTTTTCTTCATTAAAAAATTGTATCATTTCAAAATTTTCTAAGTGGGGCCCTGAACTGATTTTAAAAATAATTATTATTTCATTTATTAATAAGTTATTTTTAATTGAAAATAATTATACATATTATAAGATTATAGATAAATTTGAATTTTTCTTAAGCTGTTCATATCTGTTCATGTAACATGTTCTCTATCAAATAGGTAATAGCTTCCTTCCTTTTGTATACCATATGCAATATGTATGAGACTAATTAGAAATGTAAAGGATTGATGCAGAGCTGTATTAAGACGTATAGAGGCTCTAAGCAATTAAAAAATGTTGGTCCCCCTACATAAATTTACAGTAAAATCCTTTTTCTCTCCCCCCCCAATCCTTCCTTCTGAATTCAGAAGAACTTTTTTGTGGTATCCCTTTCCTTGATTTTTCAAGAATGTGCTTATTTTGCTAAATGGTTAATCTAGCTCTTGATAAATACATCTGGAGATAGGTAAAGCTGCTGATGACATTTAAGAAATTGGGGAAGTTGTATGACTAGTGGTACTTAGGGATAGTGTCCTACCCCTAATCAAACACACTTTAAAAGTTTTGAAATAATTTGTGAAATAACTCAAAATTTCTTCCAAGTCCACAAATTGTTCATAATTTAGAAATTTTGAAGAAATTTCAACTAACAAAGTCTTTGAAAAATTAAAGTCACTTTGAAATTAAAATCACTAAATACATAGTAAGTACAGAAGCAGTAGAGCTAATAAACAAAAAAAAAAAAAAAAAAAAACATGCAGGAAAATGCAAACTAAATGGTGCTGATAAAATACAGAAAAGGAATAAAAATACATAATCAAAAGGTACAGTACAGATCACAAATATACATTATATATAATAATGATAGTTTAATAACAATTTCCAAAAAGAAAGTATTAGAATTAATACACAGAAAACAAATATACATTGCATATAATAATGATATTTTAACAGTTTCCAAAAAGAACTTATTGGAATTAATAATCTTAATCAGGAGAACGCATTAAAATAGTCATAGAGTGATGAAAGTAATAAATAATGAGTATCGGGTGTAAATTATTCAATAGGTGTAACAAATGATTATTTCTTAAGTATGGAGACATTTGATTTAGTGTCAAAGTGAAATTAAAAACTGGGACTCTCCACAAGCTTTGTTATGAAAAAATATCAAATGCATATGCGTAAAGCATACAGAGGAAAAAGGAAGGTTGCCAGAGTTTCGGATTTTAGATCATTCTCAATACTGGATGTCCAGATTTCGAACTTAGTACTGTATTAGGTATGCATTCGATAATATAATAATTGTTGTATTAATAACAGCTGTCATTGTTTATAGAGATCATAGGCATTCAGTTAAGTGTGAAATTTCATTATACAGTCAAAAGTCGTTAATCCGGACTCGTCGGGACTTCGGCGATTTTTTTCAGTTTAAATATGGTAAGATGGCCTGCAGAAATTCCAAAATTAAAATATGAAACCGTAATTTATGAAATAAAGAACAATTATGATCTAAAGGGTATCAAAATTTACAAAAAAAGCTTAATATTTATTTGTTTACTTTATTAAACATTTCTTTCAATGTAAGTTGTTTAAGTTGCTTCGTTTCATGTGATAATACTTTCTCTTTAATTCTATTAAACAGGCATAATTTCTTGTTTAGTTACCAAGTTCCGCTGTTCAAGTCCTATAATTGCTGTGTTGAGAATACCGACTAATTTGTCAATCGAAATGTTATTGAAAACGAAAACAAACTCTGGGTCACTTTCTTCACTATCGGAAGCGAATTATAATGACGAGGAACTTGATTTAAATCGTATCAAAGACGGAGTACATCGAAATGAAATACTACACTTAGTAAGGAATTATAAGCCAAATAAAATAAAAACAAACATCTGCCCTGAAGATAAGGATAGTGCCGACAGATCAACTTCCAATTCATTGCGTGCCACGGTGTCCCCCCCCCGCCTCCGCCGCAGAGCAGCATGAAATTGATAAACAGATTTGGATTTCGAAACATACTTTCGCTTTGTAGATCCTTTACATATTAGTAAATACATATCGGAAATTCTATTTGACATAATCGAAAGTTCAAGCATACTTTTATAAAATTGCTCTAACAGTCTGGAAAAAATAATAAGGCGGATCCAATTCGAAGATTAAGGAAAAACGCAATATGCAACATTAACCGAATTAGATAATTTTAGCTTAGCTTATACTGTCCGTTATACATTAAACGCGCATGCACATATTATGCGCATGCGCACACGCATATTCGCAGGCGTAAAGGTCTTATGCGCACGCGTAAACGCCTATGCGCATGCGTCAATGCGACACATGCGCAGAAAGTTTGTAGCTTTGAGGTCCGGATTATGGGTGTCCGAATTAACGACTTTTGACTGTATATAGTGAAACAAAAATGTTTTTCCATTGCTACTGAAATAATTATGCATTATTTTTTCGGTGCTTGCATATTATTTCAACCACTCAGTAGAAATCGCGTCAGTAGAAAGCTTCAGATACCAAACTCTGATACCACACACATAACAATTATTCAGGCAACCTTATGCATAACAGATATTCAGCTTCCAACATCGCCATTTTCGTAAGTCTTCTTTTTGTTGTATTCTAAGTTCCAATGGCTTTTATAGAAAAATTATGATTATTTTTTGTCTAAAACTTGGATTTGAAAATTTCTGCTAGCAGAGTTTTTCTATGAAGAAGAAGAAAAGTGAAATTTCTGCAAGAATACATTATTTTGTTACAAATCACTAAAGGAACAACGCTGCGAATTCTTTCTTAAAATGATCGCTACGAAATTTCCGTCACAACAAAAACCTATTTGTAACTAAATTTATTGGTTAATCTTTGGATTATGGTAACTTGGCGATTTTTTGGCGACCAACCCTGCTACAGCAACCTGCTAGTTTTTGTTTGGACGCCATTTTGTTTTCATGAAGTAAAGGCTTTTTTTTTTTTTTTACTCAACATTTTTTTCCAACAATCTGCTAGCCGAATTACGCTTATGCTAGAACTTTTATGGAACAAAAGTGCTTAATCATGATGAAGATTAGGTGCGAAATTTGGAGAAAGTGCAGAATCGCCCACTGCTTGCCGCGTTTTTAAGAACTGCACATACACGGTATCATCCATGTACACGTCGACCTATTTTCACTTAAAAAAACATCCCAGAATTGCACAAAAATGGCATTGTGCACTTTCTTGACTTTATCCATGTACACTGCTAAAGTCCTAGCTAGTAACCTTTATCGCCTTACCAAAATGTCGCCAAACTACCTGTTACCATGTTCCAAAGATTAGCCCATGTTCGAATATTTGAGTGTGTTTTATTGTGTATTTATTTCTGATAATTAACAAGTATTTCTGTCTTAATTTAGTTGAAAGAAAATTATTAATTAGCCAGGTAGAGAGGCAAATGGAAGAAGCTCATGAATTGGTATGTACAAATCAGGATTTTCTTATTGAAATTTAATTATTCTCTATTTATCTGATAAATAATATTTTTCTCCCAGTACTTTTCTTTTTCCTGGGTTGCCAGCCACCAAATGCCATAGCCTATTTATATTGCACCATGAAAAGCCATGCAGTGATAGTAAATTATGGTTAATGTATCCAGTGTCAAATTTGTCCAGTTTTCTGATTTTTTTTTAAGTGAAAACAGATGCTTGGAGAAAATGGTTTTATACTACCCATGCACACAGCATTATATACCTTATATATTTGTTTTTGCTATATCTAAAATAGTTATTCTTTTCATAAAACATAACATTTCATTAGGGTTGCCACCATCTAGTTAAATTTCATGCTAATGTGTATGTTTGGTGTTCCTCTTAACTGAAAAGTTCCTTTATTCCTTTTGCTTTACATGAGAACTCATTTCAGAAATACCCATTTAAATAATATATTGTTTACATGCATTGACTTTTGCCAAGAAATTTGGCGATCTGGATCCCAGTGATTGAGTTTCTCTCAATTTTGGTAGATCAGACTTCTTGAAGATAATTTTCCAGTTTATGACAGTTTTGTATCTCACGAGCAAATCTTTTAAGCAAAACTTGATTTATGGTAATTTCTTTCACTAACAGCAAATAATTTCTGTACCTATCATAAATGTAATCAAGCCAGTTTCTTATTTTCATTTTTTTACCAAAGCAATTTATTTTAACCTGAACACTATTCAATTTTAAACTTCTCTAACATGTTTTCTTTAATTATGTGTAAATTACATTGCATGGAAATATTCTCAGCTGTTTGGCAACATTCCTGTGCTTCTGAAAAAGTAGACTGCTTCTATCTTCTTAAGAAAAGAACAAATACAGCTTACATCTCTGACCTAACAGAGGAAGACTGAGTCGCGTGTTTAAAAAAAAAAAATTAGTGAAATTTGATAGAGTAGGTCTGTAATAGCAGATATTTATGTATAAATTAAAGTACTTGTATTTTACATCATTGACTGCTGAATTTGACGGCTACCATTGAACCATGAAAATTAGCAGAGATCGTAACGAAGATGCACCATTCATTTTTGCGGAATTCTGAAGGAACTGAAGCCTCTTTATTTAAAAACAATCAGTATCCACCTGCTTTGTAAAAGACCTTCATTTATTTCTACCATTTTGTCAGGCCTTCCAACGGTACTGGAAACTCTGTTTAGAACAATATGAGTACACTGTGTGTGGGGGGGGGAATGGGACATTTCTATATTTCCCGTTCTAGTTGGTCGATTGATGAAATTCAGCTTGCGTTTTTCATATCTTGACAGCGGATATATATTAGATTTGTATATAACATAGTTCTAATACAGGTATTTTGACATAAAATCAGACTTTTTCTGAAATGACAAACCACTTTTTTCCCGTATTTCAATTATATGACTCAAATTATGCCAAACTGCCATGTTTTGTAAAAACCGCACAAATAGTTTTTAAAAAATTAGCTCTCAAAACTTTAGATCCTCAGTGTTAATTGAATTTGCTTTTTTTGTTAAACTTATTTGATTCTTCCTTTCAAATTTCGAAATTTAGGCTCATTCCAAATAAAATTTGCCTGTTTTGGATGATTTATTTTAAAAACTTGTATTTTTAAATAATTTTTATAAATTTTTCAAAAAACATTTTGAATTATAAAAGCTTTGCCATCATCTTAAAGTAGATGTATTTCTAAGCATGCCTGCAAAACATTAGAGTTTTTGTTCAAGATTTCGCAAGATATACTTGCATGTTGATGCGTTTTGAAATTTGATGTACAGTCAAAAGTCATTAATTCGGACACCCATAATCCGGAGCTCAAAGCTACGAACTTTCTGCGCATGCGTCGCGTACGCATGCGCGTAAGACCTTTACGGCTGCAAATATGTATGTGCGCAGGCCCAAAATACGTTTACGCATGCGCGTTTAATGTATAACGGACGGTATAAGCTAAGCTAAAATTATCTAATTCAGTTAATGTTGCAGATTGCGTTGTTCCTTAATCTTCGAATTGGATCCGGCTTATTATTTTTTGCAGACTGCTAGAGCAATTTTATAAAAGTAAGCTTGAACTTTCGATTATGTCAAATAGAATTTCCGATATGTATTTATTAATATGTAAAGGATCTACAAAGCGAAAGTATGTTTCGAAGTCCATTAAACAAAAAGTGGAATTGCTGCGAAAAATGGATAAAGGCATATCCTTTGCTTATCTAACCATTCCGAAATCTTGTTATCAATTTCACGCTGCTCTGCGGTGGGGGGATGCCGCAGCGCATAATGAATTGGAAGTTGATCTGTCAGCACTATCCTTATCTTCAGGGCAGATGTTTTTATTTTATTTGGCTTTTAATTCCTTACTAAATGTAGTATTTCATCTCGATGTATTCCGTCTTTGATATGATTTAAATCAAATTCCTCGTCATTATAATTTGCTTCCAATAGCAAAGAAAGTAAAGTAAACAAATAAATATTAAGCTTTTTTTTTTTTTTTTTTTTTTTTTTGTAAATTTTGATACTTTTTAGATCATAATTGTTCTTTATTTCATAAATTACGGTTTCATATTTTTAATTTTATAATTTCTGCATGTCATCTTACCAGATTTAAACTGATGATCTATAATCCGGAATCGCCGAAATCCCGACGATTCCGGATTAACGACTTTTGACTGTATTTATATATATTAATTATAAGCGATAAGAATGAAAATATGGTTTATGCACTTTGTTAAAATTATTTGAAAGTATGAATGATGACTTATTTTCCGCTTGTGGGCAATAAAGAAAAAGGAAAGGAAAATATATTGCTATACTTTAAAGAAGATCGCCAAGTGAATTATTCTTCTCACAAACTGAAAAAATACTGCCCAGATAAATTTTTTAATTTCTGCATAAATTACAAAATTTAATATCTAGGCATAATTTGAGTCATAGAATCGAGATATGGAAAAACATTGGTGTGCTGTTTCAGAAAAAGTCTGATTTTGTGTCAAAATATCTATATTAGAACAAATCTATATATAAATGTAATATATACTCTACGTCGCGCTTTCGAGACATGGATAACACAATTGGAATTTTGTCAATCAGCCCAGTAGAAGGGGAGATATAGAACTGTCCCCCCTTTTTTTTTCCGCAGTGTACATACTTCCTGCAGGTAATTGTTCCAGTTTGTTACTGTTTTGTCAGCCATATTCACTATCACTATTGCATCCATTGATGCACTCTGTTTTTGATGATAGGATCTCAATTTTAAAAATAATCCACTGCTTGCTGTTCAATAGAAAGGGAATCCCAAAGTTAATCATTTTTTAAGTACCAAAAAAAAAAAAAGTACTGCAATAACTGTTAATTTATGTCCTTATAAAAACAAGGGAACTACTCTTTTAAACACCCTTGGTTGGCGACCACTTTTTTAACACGCAATTTATGCTAAGAATCCGAAACAAAAATAGAAAATTTAAATAGCAAAAATGTAAAGTTTCTAACCAAAAATATTTGACAAGTATCCATGTACACAGCAATCTGTTTTAATTTTTAAAAAAAAAATCGGAGAAGTGAACAATCTATGCAGCGTAGGAATCTAGGAATTATGCACACCTCGCTAAAATAAACTATAAATTTCAAACAATACCATGTACACAGCATTCTGTTCTAACTTGGAAAAACATCAGCGAATTACACAATCTAGGCATCGTGCACAGCCTCGGCATTGTGCACAAATCAACAAAATAAACTAAAATATTTAAAATAAATTACAAACAATTCAAAAAACAACAATAACAACAGAAATTCATAACAAAAAAAGCAATGAACATAACATTCTACAAAATAAGAACAACAGTAAAATAAAATGCATTTACCATTGTGAATGCTTCTTCAAACAACAGAAATATCCACTTCAAACATGAGCAAAACTCATCAATTTCCATCACTTTATCGTTGCTCCTATCTTCTGAGACACAGAGCATACAAAATCCAGCATACATTCATAAATAAAATTTTGTCAATCACGCAACGTCTGTGAACAAAAGTGATTTTGCTATATTGCACGTCTTTCTGTGATTCAAAATTTCGAAAATAACGATAAAAACTTCCTCCAAAGTTAACTTACTACACGAAAATCTTAAACTGACAGCACATACTTTACAAGCAACCATTTGCCTGCAAACCCACACAAATAAAACCACTCCAGCAAAATAAAGTTTCAACATCAAAAGAGTTGCCATGCAAACAACATTGTGCCAAAAACCATTCGAAGAACACATAACTGTGCCAAAAACCAGTGCAGAACACATATCGCCACATTTGGCGACACCATATATCTGATGGCATATATAAGAGTAGTACCAAAACAAAATGTAGCTTATTGAGAATCAGATGGGACTACATCATATGAAAGTGCAGATTTTAAGAATGTGTTCTTATGTCATTCTTATCCTTAGTTGTTGCTAAATCATGCTGCTTGGCAATAGTTCCTCGGTCAGTTGGATAATGCATAAGTACCTAAATTACTATCGTACTTTGATTCCAACTGAAATTCCTTGTTTTGTTTAATACTTGAGCTGCTAAATTTTCTCACTTAAAATTTATACTTTATATACTTTATACTGGCTCGTGTAAAATATGTTTATCACAGGCAAATTCTTTTCTCTCTCAAATTTTCACATTCAATGCTATTTTAGACAGCGTTCTGAAAATTGTTTTAAATGCATTTGATTATTTTGCCGAAATGTTCTTGTATAAATATTTCTTACTTAAAATTAAATTAATTGAAATGAATATTATTTTAAATATTTAAAATTAAATTATGTCTTATTACTTTTTCTAATTAGTTGGAACAAATGGATTTGGAAGTGAAAGGTATGCCCCCAGCTTCTCGGCAGAAATACCAGATTCGACTGAAAAGCTATGTAGCTGAGCTTTCTTTATTAGATAAAGAATTGGTAAGCATTATTAATTTTGCATTGTTTATAAAATATATGAGAAAGTATTCGGGTGATATCTTTAATTATTACATTCATACTCCTCTCCCATATTCACTGATTCAGTATCTGTGATTCATAGGGGGCAGAGAAAAAAAGGTTTTTAATTTATGAAGTATCATGAGAGCATGACCAAAATATAACAATTCAAGCACACTCATTACAGTTTTCCCGTGCATGAGTGTGGTAGTGTGGAGGTGAGTAAATGCAGAGAATGTAAATGCTGTTGATCTTTCTTTATATTCTCAAGTTTCAGGAAATTCCTCTAACGCTTAATTCGCACTCCAAATTGTTGATCATAAATATGCTGATCGGTAAACTTCATTATCAGTGGTTGGAGTATTTGACTGTTATCTTTCTAATGTTTCTCTTTAAAGTTCTATTTATTACAACAAAAAGTATCCTCAAAATTAAAGCCTAATGCTGCTACGAATGCACGGAAATTACTAGTCTACTATTAATGCTAAAAAATGAATAGTCCTTATTGCTACCAAACAGTGTTTCGTTATGTTATATGATATGAGATCTGTATTTATTCATTTCTCACTTGTCTTCTGTGCGTTAAATTAAAAATTTCATGATTCCTTACTTTCATAGACATATGGGAAAAAAGAAATAGTATATGCTAGTGTGGAATATATTTGAGATTGTTTATTATACAGTGAAACCTTGGCTCACAAATTTAACTCATTGTTGAAGACTATTACTTGAATCATCAAAAGACAGCATCTTTGATACTTTTACTGTGGCACAAATGCTTTAGCATTAGTGCCCTCGCCTGCTGTCAACTATCCTCTCGCAAACTGCTGCACCGGTAGATGATGAATGAGAAAACATGCACCTCCTCAAACCAGTCCACATGAGAAATTGACAAATTACATTAATCATGCCATCTATGGTGACTTAATCCACAAGTGTTCAACTAGCCATGTCCATGCACAGAGTAGAACAACAGCCCACCAATGCAATAATCAAACGCATCAGCACAATGAGCTGCTCGCAACCACACTCCCAACATACGGAATCAAATCACGACAATAAATTGTTCCTCCTCGTAGTGCACAAACAATGTTGAGAGAGTGTTGTGTGACGTCCATGAGAACCACTGATTCTTGCAAACCTGAATGAGTTAAAATTTTTCAAGCTATCACAATAGGAGCTATTTTGTGACAGTGGTAAAAGACTTAACTTACTGGCCTTAATGGAAACTTGTTTCCCAAGGACAGTGGCACACTTGCATCGCACTTCCACTCAATACCAACAGATATCATCACAAACTAACCTCGGCTAAAACACTGAAAGCACAGCAAGCCATCAGTTAACTACCCTTCATGGACTGCCACACTCATATACTTTTAAACGTGTTGTGTTTCACTATCAGTATTAGTGTCAAAATTTATGACTGATACATCTCCATTTTAGTGAACTATATTAGCTTCTGTGTAATCAGATAAAGTAGTTTTTTCATCTAACTTTTAAATGTACATGAAAAATGCCTGAAGGGAACACCAAACATTAAATTTAAAAACTGTACAGAATTTTACTCTGCAGAACAACTTTATCCAAAAAAAAAAAAAAAAAAAAAAAAAAAAAAATCAATAAGAATGTATTACATATTAAAAAACTACAATTAAGTAAGTAATACCCATTAATACAAATATTAATTATCCTAATAAATAAATTAACCAACTTCCTGTTGCCTTCTCTCCACAGGTATCCAGTATCTAAGAGAAACATTAAATTAAACTGTACAGAATTATCGCCCTCATTTTTCTGAGTGGCAACAGTGCTAATATCAGCAACCATGGCAACACTGATATATCAGCAACAATGGCTGTGTGCCATTGTTGCTGATATAATGAGAGATAATTATCAATTTAATGCGATTTCATTAAAAAAATCTCATTCAAATTTTGAAAAAATAACTTCGAGGTGCACTGGCTGTTGTCGAGATGCACCTATGTATCAAATTTCGTAGCCCGGGTCTATTAGCTTACACACAGCACAAAAGAAAGACACTTACACACACAGAGCCAGACAGTCTTCCTTTTATTATATGTAGAGATAACATTTCATTTTTTGCCTGTATTTAAAATTTTTTTTGTCATTGTAAACTTCATCAAAAAGTGGGCTTAATTTTTAAAATTAGGGAAGGCCTATAGGAAGTAAAGCCTTCAGAAATGTTGAAAAATAAATAAATAATAAAAAGCAAATAACTAAGATTTAATAAAGCTCAGAGATAAACAAAATTATTAATAAATTAAACTAGACTAAATAGGAGTGGACTGATAAAGGTAGGAATTATTATGAATAATTTTCTGAGATTAATTTAAGATTCTTAAGATTACAAGATTAATTTTAATTTATAATTTGTGTCATAATCAGTTAAAAAAATTAGCTGATGTTTTTACTTCTTTCATTGCGCTCACCCCCTGACGACAATATGGTGAAAGATTTAAATTATTTTTTTCTTTTCTGTTATAGTCTTCATTTTTGGTTTAAACTGTTTTTGCACCTTTCATGCAATTAGTCACTGTGCTTCTCTCTTTTTTTTTTTTTTTTTTTAATTTTTTTTTATTGCATGTGGTTTGTTCTGAATTGAATATAGGATGGATTTGAAATATTTTAATGTAATTTATTTTGCATTAAACTGAGAATAATGACTGCCCAGTGGTTAAGTGGCTAGGGTGTCCGAGGTTCAATCCCTGGGCTGGGCAAGGTTGACTCAGTCTTTCATCCCTTGAATGGATCGATAAAATGAGTATCAAGTTCGCATGAGGACTAAACACCGGGGTTCCTGGGACAAGCTGACCACTTGCCCAGGGCATATGCTAATGCACACCCGGGGCCCAAGGTCAAGAAAGCAGATTTTTGGTGCCCAAGGTCAAGAAAGCAGATTCAGTGGTGCAACAGGCATAGTGGGCCATGGCCCACTATGCCTGTTGCACCACTGAGTTTAATTTTTAAACTGAGAATAATATAGCATTTTTTTAAATATTTTTATCACTTGCGTGATGCATTTCTTAACCCAGTTTTTTGTTCCTCATCTCCCTTTTTATATTATTATTGGAATTAAGAGAATATTCTTAGTTCAAAAGTCATTTTTCTGGTGATATTTTTCAGAACTGATATTTTTAAAGTGGTGCTCTTATTTTTTATATTCATTGTAAATTTTTTATATCTTTTTCTTACTTTTCTAATTTCAATTTATATGAGTTAGAAATGTAATTTGTGTGATATTTGTATTCCAAGACATATCTATACTACTTTATTGTCAGCAGAGGGCAAGAATTGTACATCGAGATGAAAATCTGGCTCGAGATGAATTATTTGAAGGAGATTATGTAAAAGATGATCAGGTTTGTAAATTTTTATTTGCATTTTTTAATACAGTTTTACTTTAATAAATCTAAAAAATGATTTTGAGGAGAAACTATTTATTTGAATGTTATTTATTAATATATTTCAGAAACAGAGGTTATTAGATAATACTGAAAGGTTAGAGCGTTCTTCCAGGCAGCTTGAAGGGGGATATAAATTAGCAGTTGAAGCTGGTATGAACCACAAAATTTATTACATCTTATGTTTAATTTCAAGAAAAATATTTCAAAGTTATTAAGTTTTTTATGTATTTATAATATATATATTTGTGTGTTTATAATGTATATGCACACTGTATTTATTTCAAAGGAAAGTCTTTCTCCCCCTCCCCCTTATATTTTTGTTCCCTAATTTGGTAAAGTGTTTATAGTCAGGTATTTTCGTAGATGAAATTGAAGTAAAGAGTTTTATTATCATATTATATAGAATAATCACATTAGGTACTTTTCCGTTTTGCCGGCGCAAATGATAAAGTCGCCAATAATGGTACAACTGAAGCCAAACGGAATACCTTCGCTGGCAAACTTTTACGCTTCATTTTCAAAACAAGTTGCAGCCATTCTTTCAATACTGGCATACAATTACATAGAATTTTTACAAGATGGTTCAATTTTATGCCCTAAGGCTATTCCCGGTAATTAAGTCAATTAGGATGCAATCACCACGCCTCATCGGAAGGAGGAAAAATATAGAAAAGGCAAAAAATTCAAGGGTTAAATTCAACCATTCTAATGAGAATGCACTAGCGAAGTAAAGCACTGCGGTTTTACATAATTTCTGAGTAAGCTATTCGTACGAATTGAAATAATTCTTGCATTTAAACTAAATTGTATTCCAAACCAAGATTTAACTTGAAATTAATGTAGGTAAATCATTAATGGACTTAGAATTAGATTTTTGTAGCGTAGTTTACGTGAGATGAGATCACTTGGGGGGTCACGTGATAAGAACTGGCGAATCGGGATGTTGAACCAATGAAAGCATAGTAAATTCTTAAATTAATGTTTTTACAAATTTATTGTCTTTATTTATTGGCTTTTTACAAATATTTTAAACCATATTAAAATGTTTATGCCTTCAAAATAACAAATTCTTAGAACTAACATTTGTTAACATTTTTTATGTGTATACTGTATGTTGTCGCCAACAAAGTCTGCTTGGCGAAATTTGCGCCAGCGAAACGTAAAAGTACCTCACATTATTTAAATACTAAATAAACTCGCAAGCAATTACTGTGTATAGGATAATTAAAAGTATCCGCCAAAAATGTAAAAGTAGGTACAGGGAATCTCATGTGACTGCACGAGACATTTTAGAAAGTGAACTAAAGCTTCGATTGAAAAATATATTGAAATTACATACAGACGTGCTGAGAAATGTTCCAACTAAGTGCATTTTTCATGAAATAGCTTATGTAACAAATTTATTGACCTTGTGATCTTTCTAGATTTGGTGATAGTCAAAGTGAAGTGGGTTTCAATATGTTGATGAATGAGCAGCAAGTTTTAATATACATGAACTGGTTATTGTGCACACTATTTGAAACTTATGTGTATAACTTGCACAGAAAAATTATTATTTGAAGGGAAAAATTATGATAATGTTCCACGATCCTATGCAGTAGTAATCAGAGATATTTGATATGATAAATAGAGGTCATCATAAAAAACTTCCACATCAATATTTAATATTAACAATCCACAGAAATTGCATTTTTATAATACTTGTTATTATTAAATTTAAATTCATGTAGATGGCACTGCTATTGTGAGTGAAATCTAATTTAGTTGATCACATGACTACTCACATTTTGGCAATGAGAGTATATATTTTGTTTTTCATCGTGATTCTTCCCCCCCCTTCTCCTGCTTGAGAGTAAAAATCACAGTTCCATACAATACATTTTTTATTATTGTTATTTGACATTATATCATCAATACTTATACATAAAAAAAGTATGAAACACATTTTCAAAAATGCCAAAATCAACATTCAGTTCTTATTCCAATTTTTTAAATGTGTATAATTAATATGAACTACTTGGTCATGAAATCAGACAATGTTACACTTGTGGATTCTTTAACATTGTCGTGAAAGTACTGAATATATTTCCAATGTTGCTTAAACAATTATATTAATGTATTAGCAGATGGTTAAGTTTTCTGCATCAAATGAACAAAAACTAAAGTAATTAAAAAGTGTTAAGTATTTTTATTATATTAATTGTAAACTGCAGTTTTATTATTTTTCATATAATATTTTAACTCTCATCATTGTTATAGTCTTTGCCTTATAAAAATCAAAGTTTTATGTGTGCTTGCTTGATTTTTAAGTCGTGATCATATGACAAGTATGAATGTTTGAATTTAGGTTTCTTATTATTTAAAAGATATTATTGTTTATTATTAAAAGTATGTTGAAGATATAAAAGTTGATGGTTATAATATTTTTCATTATGAAATATGAAAAAAAAAATTAAGTACTTGAGCTTAGTTAAAATATTGATTGTAATCAATAATATATTATAAATTTGTTATCTTATGGCTTTCCCATATTCAGATAACCTTATCCTGAGGCAGCAGTTTTTTATGAACTTAAAAAGTTATTATTATTGTTTTTATTTATTTATTTTGTCTCAGTATATTTTTTATGAAATGAATAAAATTCTAATAATTTAATTGGTTGCAATAGTATATTTTCAAAATGATAATTAAATTATTTAATCTTATTAATTTATTTCCTAATATTTCACAGTAGCAACTTGTAGCAATAAAGGCTTTTTTTTTTTTTTTTTTTTTTTTTTTTTTTTTTTTTTTTTGATAAAACTGATACAATTTTATACTACCATATGTATGCTAAAGTAAACCAGTTGTCTAAAACTCAAATTGCATGTAGGCTAAATACATGATATGAAAACAGCTGACTGGCCAGATTTTTAATTAACAGAATAAAAAATATTTTAAACAAATTGCATGCACTAAATATTAATCAAAAGATTCATAAACAGTAATAATAATATCATAGGGGCAAAAAATTGACTGATATTTCTATGAAATAATTCTGTCGTATTTAATTAATCATAAAATAACTTACTTTAATTTAAACTAAGAGTAAAAAAATTATTAAAACTTTCAGAGAAAATTTATCAAGTGAGACAAAACTCAAGAATAAATAACAACCACATAGTCTCTTTCCTTTATTTGTTAAATTTTTTGGAGAGAAAGTATTGGAAATTATCTTCGTTTCAGACCATAGATGCTCATCAATCAATCAGAATTTTTCTTATTAGTTTTCAACAATGGAAAAAGATGTTCACATATAAATGTATTCCAAAACAAAGTTATAATTCTTAGTGGAAAAAATTCGCAACTGAACCTAATTATTTTTTGAAAAATACAAATAAACAACTTTATTAAATGTTAATAGTCTGTATCTAAAAAGATAATATCATTTTGTAAATTAATTAGTTCCATTTATAGATTTTATAGTACATTATTTATCTTCATTTTTAACAAAAATGAAAACAAGGTAAACCTGGATTTCAAATAACTAAATTCTTGAAATCTTTGCAATAACGTATTTGCAACAAATACATAATTGAAATATTTTCAGGGGCTGCCAGTTTGACATTGCCAAAGTTAACTTTGCATGCATTTAATTATTTCTGTTTTGAATAGCATTTAACAAATTTTAATCTGTAAATTTTTTATCCTTAGAACAAATAGGAGCTCAAATTCTTACAGATCTTAGTTCACAGAGAGAAACTATCAAAAAGTCAAAATCTCGGGTAAGTGATTGTCAAGTATAATTATTTAATGAAACATCTAATTAATGTACAATTATGTACTATATTTAATTAATGTACAATTATGTATTATATTTAATATACAACTATTTAAGAAACAGTTAATTAAATTATTTTTTTAATATGAAAGTTCTTCTGCAGTGTGTATAATAAGTGAAATTTCTTAATGTAAATTTTAATGTAATTTTCTTAAACTTATGTTCTGACACAGTGAACCCTCTGCCTTGTAGTTACTAGGCCATAAGTCATTATTGCATCCTGCTGTACTGGATGCAATAATAAATATATGTAGAGACTTTGCTAGATTTTTACGTGATAAACTAGACAGATGGAGCAATAGATTAATTTTAAATAATGAAACCTTTAAGTATAACTTAATTATTATGCATTAAATTAACACAGATGATAATTGCATCAGAGAAAAAGAACTGACCATTCATGGCAATGATGAAACATGAAGTGTTTTTTGTGTCCACTTGCTGTTATGGTTAGACAAACATGGTTAGTGACTTCACTTTAGAGTCAACACAATCATTTCTATTGAGCATTGCAGCTTTCATATTATCAAAATAGATGAAACAATATGCATATATATAGTCTGAAGATTTAATTTAATTTACTAAAGAATAAAACTTTAATTTGCTAATTTTTTTTCTTACTTTAGTACAAATTTTCTTTATAGACTTTTATTATGTTAAATTACAAAATGAAATTTTTAGTCTTTAGATAGACAGTACCAGAGTCAAAAATCCAGACATAAAATATCTGGACTTCCAGATCTCTCTCTCTCTCTCTTTTTTTTTTTTTTTTTAAAGAAAAGGGAGAAAGAATTAAGGTTATGAAAGTAGCATCTTACTTTAGTGTATGCTTTACGTATGCACGGTAGACATTTTTTCATTATAAAGTATGTGAAAGGTCCTGATTCTTTGTTTTGATTCACAACCAAATACCTCCATGTTGAAAAAGTACAATCATTTATTAGCTTAAATCTATGAGATCAATGATTTGTTGCATCTTTTTTTTTAGGGGGGGGGATTTGCGTACATCTCAAACAAAAATCATGCCGCAAAACACTGAATATGTTGACAAAGAGAAATTTAAGAGAAATTTCTTTCTATATAAAAAAAATCGATTTTGTATATATTCAAGGACGAAAGTAGTGCTGTTTAAATTAAGAATAACTGGTTTGTTATTTTATTTTAATGGTTTGTTATTTAGGTGAGCCTTGAGTATAATATGTAGGATTTACTAATTCTGGACTTGGATAAGCCTTAATCATACATGGAAAATAAATGTAATTATAAAAAATAACTGAAAGTGCATGATAGGAGCAGGACAAAATTTAGTGGAACAACATGCTTTTATTTGCCAGTCTGATGACGTATTACCAGTAGTGTACTGTGGATTCTAGCTAAGCATAAAGCTATGCTAAAATGAGACACTACCCTAAATATTTAGTAAATTTCTAAATCCAAAAAAATATCTCTTCTGCTAGGGAAGAAAGTGAGGAAAAGGCTGCTGAGAACAAAAAATTTTCAGTTGACAATTTAATGGGAGTTCTCATCTCAATAATACATATTTACAATATTCATTTACAAATGGAGCTTTGTAAATGTAATTGAAATGTAAGTTAATTTTACAAAACTAGCATTTAGCAAAACTAAAATTTAAACTTTGGGCTAAAAAAACATTGGAGCAGCTGGTATGATTCTTAGAATTGACACAAGAATGTTTATAAGCTGAAGGAACAATGTAGGGCATCTCCTGAAAGAATAGATTGGTAAGCAAATTTGCAAAATAACTATTGCTGCTATTTGCCTTGGCAAACGAATGTTTCTTTTTAGATGCAAAACTGATCTGTGAGTGTATTATTAGAAGCTGTCAAAGAAAACATGAAGAAGAATCAAAATATCATATATTCTGATTCTTGTAAATATGTTACTCTACAAAATTATAAAAGAAGGGATTTCAACATTTAAAAATAAATCATAAGTGTCATTTCATAGACCAGAAAGTAAAGTACAGTATGCACCCAAATAATTGAGCAGCTATGGCAAAGCTCAGAATGGCACAGTAGAAAACATGAAAGAACCTGCATAAATCTTACCTAGTTGAATTCTGGAACATATATGAAAAAGAAAAATAGTTGGTCTATAAAAAAATATATTAAATATTTTTACCCTTCCTGCACCCTAAAGAAGTAAGTGAGATGGTATCTGTGTATATGTATGTATTACAAACACTACTTTGATGTTGAAATTGTTTTTGCTTCATGGTATTATTTCTCATTAAATTGGAACTTTCTTTCATGTATTTTAAATGAATAAAAGCTCCTTTCCCTAATGTATTTGTGTTTGCCCTACTGATGTAGGTATTTCAATTCTTTAACTTTAACCAAGGATGATATTGTATGGCACTGTCAAAATGAAAAAAAAAAAAAAAAAATCTGCTGTTGGCAACATAAGCCAGGTACCAAGGTACCAAAAATGCCTGTATTATGGTGATGTTCGAGACTAGTAAACTGTTTGTTTGCTGTAAAGTCATTTGTTTCAATTTCTGAGTAAATGTGGGAATTCTTATGTATGGTAAAGCAGTTGCATATTTACAAGTTTATTTAAACTAAAAATTTGTCCTTTTTTTTCACCGACATCTGATTTTTAGATCACATTTTGATGATTCTTCAGAATCTCTATTTAGGTGCAGATGGAGCAATAGATTTGAAGAATACTATATTCCTTTGCCGTGCTAAATTACAAGTGGTTGTTTTGAAATTTTGTGTTGCAACTTACATTTTCATAGGTAATTACTGAAGCCAATAATACTCTATTTTCAGACAAAATTCAAAATTATAATCATATGGAATTTTCTAGCTGATTTCTCCGGGAAGGATCAAAGTTATCTCTAACTGAAGTTTGTCAGTTGAACCATTTTCAAATGAAACAGTGCTAGAAACAGTTTGAAAAAACTTACATATATACTTGTGAAACATTGTTTAAATTTAAAAAAAAAAAAAAAAAAAAAAAAAAAAAAAAAAAAAAAACCTTTTCTCTTGAAAAATATAGAATAAAGTAGTCTTTGTCGGAAGAAGTTGAATTTATATTTATAAGTGTGTGTTCATTTAGCAATTACTAAATGAACGAAATCTCAAGAAAACTGCCATATTTATTTATCTGAATGTGTTTATCTAAATCGGGTATAGTCAACATTTTTACTCATCAAAACTGGCATATTTATTTATCTGAATGTGTTTATCTAAATCAGGTGTAGTCAGCATTTTTTTTTTTTTTTTATTCATCTACTGCTTATTTTGCAGGTGGTAAAATTTCCTTACCACCAACCAGTAAGTACATAATAACTTAATTTACTGCAGCTGCAAGGTAATTTTTTGAGCGGAGGTGTAGTAAAAACTACATAGTTAAATTTATCCATTTATTTATGCTTTGCATGTATTTCTAAGAGACAAAAAATTTATTAAAATAACAAAGCCGTATAAATACATGGGAAACAGGAAAACACTGTGCACGAGGGAACATCAAGTAGAGCACTAGATTTTTCATGTTTGTGTATATGTATATATTCATGTATGTCTGACTGTGTTTTAATCTTCCTTGACCCACCAGACAAAAACTTTTGCTGCCCACCATGAAAATTGCCCACTAGAGAACGAATCAGGTTGACTATCCCTAATCTTAATGGTGAGGTTTTGTTATATTATATTACATAATTTATAATTCTGTGTTTCTCCCGCCATCGTAGTATGCCTTTGTGGTGTAGTGGTCAGCACACTCAATGCGTATTCTAGAGGTTCGTGGTTCAAGTCCCGGGAAGGGCATTGCTCACTTTTTCATTTCTCTTCAAAATAACCTAATGTCTCTACAGTTGTGCCCGAACTAAAAGGTAGTGAATGCTGATTCTTCACTACCAGAATTTGGTGATTGGGTCCCCTAATCCCCAGTCGCCCTTTAAAAGGGGGAGGATATAAGGTATTTCTCCTGCCTTTGTGGTATAGTGGTCAGCACACTCGGCGCTTATTCAGAGAGATCTATGGTTCAAGTCCCGGCGAGGGCATTCATTTTTTATCGCTTCTACTTCGAAAAAACCTAATGTCTCTGCAATTTCTTTTAACATACTACATATCTTTTTTTGTGTTTCTTGCCATTTTACTGAGTTTAATTAGTTTTTATAATGATTTCATTAAAACTGTCGTAATTCATTTTGTATGAATTTGTTACAGGTTCAAGAGACAAATTATGATCTTGGCAAGAGTTCCCGAATAGTTAATGGAATGATTAGAGGGTAAGAATAAATCATTTTACTTGTCTTATTATTTCAAAAAAATTATCATATTAAGGTATTTTGTGCAATTTTTTATTTATTTTTTGCTTATTTTGTTTCATAAAATTAAAACATAATGTATCAAAACTGGGCTTATTTATTAAACAAAATGTATCAAAACTGGGGCATCATTATTAAGTCAACTGAATGAAAACCTTTCTCTTTTGCTTTATAGATATAATTGACGGTTTATTGAATTTTAACTTAGTTTCATGTAATCTCTAACTTACAGTTTTGTGAGCCTTAATTTGTATTTCTTTTAAATTTCCGCATCATTATTTCCTGTGTTATAATAAAACAATAGAACAATGCATTGCTTCTGTATTCTGAAGTGTTTTATGACATCTCTGAAAATTTGATAAAATGATTGTTTGATCATTCGCATAGAGTTTAACCCCTTAATGATCATCCTATCATTTTTTTATTTTTAAGAAAACTGTCATAAAAGTGCCCATTTTTTAATAAAAAAATAGTCATATATGCATTCATTTTCATTTCTGGATTTTTTCTTAGCTTGAAATTTTTAAAATATAATTTTTTAGGAAAAGCCAACATTTAGGTTTATTCTGGACAATAGTACCAAGTTTCGTTCCTACATCTCTTATTGTTTTCATCTCCTGTGGAACAGCAAACTTTGCATTCTCTTGATGGTTGCCGTTTCTTATCAGTTGGGAGTATCTGTCTAATAAAATGTCTTTAAATCAAACGGTTTGGATTATCCTTCAAGCTTGACCGGTCTCTTTTTGCAATGGTGTCTGATGACTGATTCAGTAAGTCCATCTACTAAAGATAAATGAAACATCGAATGGGATTTCTTTCCACCCTGTTTTCTATAAATAAAATACGAGTTCAAAATAGTTTGGTCTAACAAATGAAAAAATATTTTTTTATAATATTTTTTTCCTCTTTTTTGAGCAATAGAGGAATCTCCAAGATACTGGTCTACGATATCTACTGCTCCCATATTTTTATTTTAATCTGTGACAATTGTAGGTTTTTTGGCAACTTTGTTATGACACTGTACATCTACCATATCATTTGTGTGAACTGAAGATAGAATGGTAACATCTTTCTTATCTTTCCACTTTATGGCAAGAACTTTACTTCAACGAAAAGCAACATTTTCACCTTTTGTGATTCTCTTTTTTACTAATTCTTGAAGCATTTCTTTTTGGTTTAGTTTTACAGTTTCCATAAGTGTCTGTTTGAAATTTTAAAAGCATTGTCTGCCAATTCTAGTGAGGTATCAAAATTGTCTGTTATTAGACAATATCCTTGTTTTAGCAGAGGCTTGATAAGTGACATCACAACTTGAATTGATTGGGGCAGATCTTTATTTTGCTTCAAAAACTATACTTTTTCCAGTATATATAATCTGGGACTATGTATACCCTGAACTTGATTCACATAACAAATACGATTTTACTCCAAAACGGGATCTCTTTTTCGGCGTATATTGTCACCATTCTAAATGACCTTTGAAAAACATGAGGGTTTGATTAATTACAATATCACGTCCAATAGTTACAGCTCTTTGAAACAATTCATTCAAGTGCTGTAACACTGGCCAGATTTTGTGTAGCTTGGAATTTGGATGTGTGTTACAATCAAAAGCTTCATTATCTACAAAATGCAGAAACTTATGTATTTCATAAAATCTATTACATTATGCTTCTGAAAAAATGTGTTGAAATTGAATGTTTTTTGCTCCAATACATTTTTGTATCTTTTTTTTTTTTTTTTTTTTTTTTTTTTTTTACAATACCTTGTAAAATAACTATACTGAGAAATATAAGAATTTCTTCCTTTGTGTTATGTTTCCAAGGTTTTCTTTTTTGGATAGGTGGAATCCTGGAGAATTTTTGGCATTGTTCGGCATATATATTTATTTCCGAAATGATGAGATCCACTAAATTGTCATTCACAAAATACTTAAAATATTGTAAAGACACCAGAACTTGGATCAAAATTTATATTTATCAGTGGTGTTTCCCAAAATTTAAAAAACATGGGGGTGCATGATCTGCTGAAGTAGACATAATTTTATTCCATGCTCATCCAGGCAACAGTACAGATCCATCATCACTGCTCTCAGATTCACTAAACGAACTTTCATAAAAATCAGTTACTTCAGAATCACCTTCAAATCCATTTATATTAAAATCAGAATCCAATTCACTATCTGACTGTGACTCCATAATGTACAGAATAAAAATATAACTATATTTTATCACAGAACAGAAACCACGTGCATTCACAATGAGACTAACTCGATGACTGAGCTAACGATAAAATTACAAAACACATAGCATAAATACACGTTTGATTAGTGTTGACATCTAGTTTAAAATAAACTATCTCTAATTGCATAACATATTGTTCTGGTACTGCCATCTGGTGTGTAAAATGAGAAATAAAACTTTTTCTGGGCAAAAGAAATGAATAGGCTTTAATCCTTTTAGCACTTTGCTTTTGAACTTTCCAGCCCGGAAAAATCACGGGGATGAGAAATAGAGAGCGAAACCTCACCCCGTCATTTTGACGGAAGTGAGAAGGAAGGGGTTAATAAAAGTTTATTAAATGGAATTATGAAATCAAACTATCAGTTTAAATATAAATCTCACTTACATATTCGATTCTGTCTTTAATCCTTTCCGGACGGGCGTCCTATATACACATTTCCTAAGAACATCTCTTACGGCCGGGTGTCCCATTCACGCATCACTAGAGATTGATTTCAGAGGACGAGTGATGTGTATATGCATTTTAAGCTGGAACGTTTTTTGGAAAACCACTAGATGGCACACCCTATGTCCATTACTTTTGAATTGAGCTCAGTTTTAGGTTCCTGACCTTCAGTTTGTATATATTCTGCCCGACTTCAGTGTTTTACTCATCAGCTGTTGCGAGGGGGGGAGTATAACGTAAATAGAGCTGGGCTCTTTAAATTGCCACGTGCTAATATAAACATTCACATGTCTAATTTATATCCGATTCTTTTTTTTTTTTTTTTTTCTCTAGTGTGTACGGTCTTTTAGGGTTACTATGTGGAGCTTTGTTACATTTTGGGTTGCCTTTAAATATATTTTGGGTCATTCCCTTTTTATTTCGAAAAGCCTCAACTCCAGTCTATTATGGCTCGAAGACGTTATTTATCAGAGGAAGAATACACTCGTATGGTAAATGAACCGTTTACTGACACAGATGAGATTGATGATTCATTTTCTGAAGAGTTAGAAAGTGATACTTATAGTGATTCTGATAGGGACATTTTGTCAGAGACAGAGCTTAGTCTGTGCTTGTCATCAACTTCCCATGAAAGTGCGACTCAAAATACTTCATCATGAACTCTCATGCTAGAGGAATTGCATCCCCATGCATTTACTAGAACACTGGAAATAAATTCTATGGTAAATGCTGAAAAGGAAATTGATTTTTTTAATATTTTCTTTGATGATGATCTACTAAATTTGATTGCTGAAGAAACAGACAGTTTTGCTCAAAACACTAAAAGAAGTGCTCCGTCAACTTCTAAGTCAGCCAGATTTTCAGATGTAAATACTGAGAATGTAAAAGCCTAGAGATACGTTCCTTAATGTTTTTAATTTTTTGCATTTCACCTCAGACAAGAGCACTAAAAAGTTGAGAAAACTAGAACTATAATCATAGGCAATCTAAAAAATAAATTTTATAAAAGCTACATATCCGAGAAAATATTTGCATAGATGAATCCCTTTTTGCTTGGAAAGGACGTATTAGCTTTCGACAGTACGTTCCATCCAAAAGATCGTGTTACGGCATAAAAATATATAAGTTATGCAAATCAGTTACCGGTTATGTATGGAATTTTTTAATTTACTGTGGGAAGGACACAGAAATGTTAAGCAGCGATGTGTCTTACGGAGCTAGAGTCGTGAAGAAATTGATGAGCGACTTATGTGAGAAAGAGCATAATTTATAATTTATATTTGGATCGCTTCTTCAGTTCCCCATCACTTCCGGAATATTTGCATTCCATAAGAACGAATGTTTGTGGAACAGTATTAAAAACACACAAAACAAAAAAAAAAAAAAAATGTTTAAGGATTTTCCAGGGAAAAAACTAAACAAGGGTGAATTAGAAGTAATGCAGCAAAACATGAACATCATTGCCATCAAAGAAAAAAAAAGCAAGACGTTTTTATGCTAATAAACATACATGGACCAGAAATGGCTAAATCGGGCAGAAAAGATAGAATTACTGGAGAAGACATTTTATAACCTAAATGTATTATAGATTATAACAAAAACATGGGTGGTATAGACATAGGAGACGCAGTTATGACACACTATTCATGTTTTCGTAAATCAATTAAATGGTACAAGAAATTGTTTTTGGGCTGATGGATATAACAATATTGAACTCAAATATTCTTTTTGACAGAAAACATGGCATTAAAATGGCGTTTCTCCAATTTAAAATGAAATTAATTGAATAAGTGTTCAAGAATTACAGAAATTATCAAGAAGAAAAGCAGTTTGTTGTCAGTTCTGTACCAGCATCTATCTGATTATCTGGTAGGCATTTGCCTACACTTTGTATGAACAAAAAGGGTGAAAAAAATCTGAAGAAGGTGCATAGTGTGTTCACAAACAGTGCTGAAACAAAGAAAAAAGCAACAGACATATTATGCTTGTGACATATTATGCAATGTAGGACTTTGCGTTTCTCCATGTTTGGAGATTTATCACACTCACTCTTCATTTTAAATCTTGTTACTTCTTACTGTAAATAGTCTTTATTGTATTGTTTTATTAATTTTAAACTTTATTAATGATTCTTGTCAATTAAAACTTTGGTATAAATTGAACAATGCTTCCGAAAATTATTTTATAAGATAAGCATTTTTTTAAATATACTTTCATGTAAAATAAAGAAAAAAGGTTATTTAAATGCTAATTTTAACATATACAAGACCTCAAGTAATAGTCTAAAAAGTACCAAAAATTACGATGCTAGAACGGAAACTTTTTTTGTGTGTGATTTTTTCCCCCCTAAAATTAGGCTTCTTCCCTTCCCTCCCGCACGAGCATCTTAAACAAAGGCATGCCGTCGCGAAAGGCTTAAATGTCTCGAGCATGTCTAAGACTATTTCATGTTTAAGCTTTTGATGTGAAATATGTGCAGATTAATTGTAATGATTTCCAAAAGCTTAAAGAAGGATTTTTTAATTTTTCTGTCTCTCCAGTGCTCTGATGAAAATAACCTGAGAGATAAAATTCATGTGTGTATAATTTGGGAGGGAAAATAGTTATGAAAACAAAAGCCAGTCCTCCATTAAATCATTGCTTTTCAAGAAGTCTTCCTCTCTCAAATGGACATTGAATTAATACAAAAAAGTGTGTTTTGTGCAAATTAAATAAATGAATATTTTATTCAAAAGAGTATACAATTAATTATTAATTCATTTAGTTCTGTTAGTGGAATATATTACTATTGTCGTTCTCTCTTATTATTTTCTTTTGAGAGGAGAGAGCTTTAGACCTACTTTATATGTTACCTTAAATTTAATGATTGTAGTAAAATTTTTAGCATTGTATAAAGTATATTGTTAGAAATACCAATTTTCCAATTTATTTTCAAATCAAACTCCAGCTTTCCGTCACTTCATAAAATTATGTTTGCTGCTTTGTTTATATACTGGTAAAAAGAGTGTTTACAGACTTCACTTTCTTGAATATTTATCCTATAATTGACAAAGTTGTTTAAAAATAATATGAGATTCCTATGAAAATAGTGTCAACGTTGTGGCCTAATAAAATTATGAAAGGAAGTGAAAACATTTCACATTGGCTTTGTAAAGAAAAGTCTCCAGTTATTAATTTTTTATTTTAATTAGTTCCATTCTTTTATGTGGAAAGTTCAGTAAAATAAACCAATCACCGAAACGAATGTTTTCAGCAGAACTAAATGGGTTATGTAAAAATTTGAAGACGACCTTATTTTATATAATATGGAACCAATAACTGTCGAAGTGACCAGCTTCTGTTTTGTAACTGTGCCCTTATTTGTTTTTAAAATTCTTGAACTAAATTTAGAAAGTTGAAAAAGAATCAGATCTTGGCATTTTGCTCCCAGTGATGAAAGTATCATTGAGGTATTTCCAAAGTTTAATTTTGAAAGTCAAGGAGAAGACATTAAAATGAATGCAACAATAGTAAAAATTTACTGAGCTTCACAGTCAGAACTAGACAGATACAGAAAATGTTAAATTACTTCAGCAATAAAATAATTCATTTTTGCAATCAAAATATGTTATACTATATTTTTGTTGAAAAGCTTTTAAAAATCAAATTTGAATTGCAAATTGTGTGATTATGGATTGTTTATATTCGATAAGAGAATATTAGCAAAATTTTTTAATTCTTCTAATATATTCTTATTAATAAAAAGTAAAATACTATTATTATTATTCTAGAGAAATCGTTTCAGAAAATATAAATTAGCCTATTATAAATTTAAATAATTTTATATTTTGTTAAAAAATATGCAAAAATAAATTGTCACGATTATGACACTGTAAAGAAGGTGATTTTCTAGATGCTGTGTGCATTTTAATATTCATTTTTGCAGTTTGTTTCCAGGTTTTTAAGTAAGAAATTGCTTCCTGGATTTGGTAATCTTCTTTTTTTAATTGTTGATGTGAGTGAAGAAAAAGGGTTAAGTTAAGTTAACAACATGTTAAGTTGTACATTTTATTTTCTGGAAACTTAATTGTAAATGTTTGTATTTTTTATATTTTATAGTGTTTTTATTTATAAAATGTAATTACTTTACTTTGCAGGTTAAAACAGCAGAAAATGGTCTTGTATGCAGTTGCTGCTGTTGTGGTTCTTTCCATTATTCTTGCAATATATTTTACAATTCGGAAACATAGCTGAGATTAGAGAGATATCAAGCCTTCAATCTGGTCTTCATTGTAGATAATCACTTTTTTTATTGTATCTACTTGTATATTTCAGTACCATTTGCTATTTAAAAATACCAATATTGTAATGTAGTATCATTTATTTAATAGCCACATTATTGAATTGTGAGGGATATCATATCATCTGTTTTTGAAATGTGTGAAACTAGTATTAGTGGTGAAATGCTTCTGTGATACAAGTTTATTTTATCAGAAGTATTATCTACTTCAATGTTCAAGATTAGTTTTTAAAGTTACGTGTCTTTCAAAGCCACCTATTCAACTTTTATTTGCAGTTCTAGAGTGTAAATTTGTTACTTAATTATATTGTGTTATAATTTTCTTAAAAAAAATTGTATATAAAAACTAAATTATTTTTAATCTTTGAGCTTTTGAACAGTGCTTAAAGCTATAGCTTCTTGGGCTGTGTGAATATCAGTTCTTAATGTATAAGATTTTAAAATATAGTAAATCAAGCCAAAATTTTATAAATGAATGACTGTAGCAACAAGTGTTAATGTATTTAAGAAAAGTTTTCTATCTTGCAATACATTATGTGTCAATCTTGTTGTTTCTATAGGTCATCTAGAACTGTTTCAAGTGATTTTCAGTTTGTTTGCAAAAATCTTGCATTTTTCACTTTCAAATATTGATGAAATTCTTGTGATTAATCTTTGGAACTGCAAATAGTGAATATTTTAATAATGTGCAGCTTGTTAAGCTAGAATATTTTTAAATATGTGTATATTTAATGATTATTTTAAATTTTATTTTATGAATTTGGCTGATTGGAGTGGAGACTGTTACACTAAGTTATTCAAAAAATTGCATGCCACAACTAACACATCATTTAAAAAGCAAATATTCTGCTTCTTCTACATTTTTTATATCAGACAGAAAAAAATGAAATAGCATTTAAAACTGGGGGGGGGGTATAATGTTCATGTTCTTTATGTCAAAAAATAAAACTTTCAAGACCGAAACACTGCTCAAATTTTATTTATTTTATTTTTTCAGTATTTCTATTTTTTTAACTTTTAGATTAATTAAAAGATAGTCCTCAGCAATTAAATTGTGAAATCATCAAGTTTTCAAGATCAGATATGTATTTTCAGTTTTTTTACAGCTGTTTAATATTTAAGCTATTTCTTATTTGAATTAATTTGTTTAGTGTAAAAGTTCAAACAAAAAGTATGTATAGTAGATCTGTAAGCTTAAAGTAAACTTGAGCTTTATATCATTAATATAATATGCAAAATAAGTAATACTGTACACCAACCTGTACAACTGAAAATTTAACTCTTAATTTTATTATTTTTGGATTTAACATATTTTGCATGAAGAATGTTTAAACCTCTCATAAGATCTGTTTTACTGAAAGATTAGTTTTGTGATATGATATTCCAAAATTTTATGAATAAAATGTTTTAGTTGGTAAATTTTCTAAAATTGATTTTTCGTTTTAATTTCTTGTAAAAATTACTGAATTGTTGAAAATATCTTTACCTCCAATGTGTTAATTTCATCATAATGCAAATGTAATTTTGATTAATATTATGATGAATATAATATGAGATTCTCAAATTGCTATAATCAGTAACTGATTTTTCATTTTTATGAAAAGAAGTATTTATTCTACAATTAAACAAGGATTGTGTAATGCTATTAAAAATAAAAGTTTTAGTTTTCCCCCTGTTTTGAATTATTTCCAAAGGTTGTATTCCCCTTCATTTTTTATTCTCGAGAGGTATTGTCTCTGTACCCAACCATGAGAGCAACCATTTCAAGCAAACACTAGAAGAGTACTATTAGGCAGTCTGATTTCTTTATTTATCTTTTATATCTCAGAAGAGTATCATTAGTTTCCTTTAGTTGTCATTCAAGATCATGATTTATCTACAGTCAGGATGTAATCAAGAAACACATCTTCTTTTTCTGATGTAAATGTTTCTTATTTCTCATAGTATCTACAGCATTAGCAGAAGAAATAAATCCTTATTCAATAGCTAGCATGTCAAGCTAATCAAAGTAACCAAGACTATAGCTGTGAAATTTATTAGCGGAATGAATCAGCAGTTTTATTATATGAGCACAATTCAGAAATTTCCTGTATGGTGTTCTTAAAAAATTATATTGAAAAAAGATGGCCTAAGCATATTATTTATAGAATGCTTTTCCTAGTCATTTCACATTTTTACAGTATTGGGGCAGGCAGTCAGTTGTGCCTATGTACTCTTTTTTTGCTTAATCATAGATAGGTTTCTTCTACAAGGTAGAACCAAGGTCCTTGTAAACCTTTGTAAATATAATTTTTAATCTTTACAAAGAGGAAATAACTACAAGGCAAAGCATCAGGAGAATATGGATGATTTTTAACATGAGTGCTGTCATATTTTAAAAAAAGGTTGTTTTGGATTACTGTTATTTTTTCATGTATGTTCCTTAATGTCATGTAATGTTCTTTGCAACATAGTAGTGCGTAAAACAAAATATATTTATATCTATTTTTAGACCATAATTAGTTTGTGTTCATTTGGATACATAATCTCCATGGGGGACGAAAAATTTATTTTATCCACCAAAGTTTTTATGTACCACTGTAACCAATATTTTATAGAATTTAGAATAGTGCATAGAATTTGTGTCCTTTAGAGAATATATGGCTGAATCTGAATGCATGTCATAGTATCCAAACTAGTACAAGTCGTCTGTTAGGTTAATGTATGTTGTGTGTGTTTGGATAAATATTTCAGTTTCAGTGTTCTGGCAGCTAGCAAAGGCCATGATGCCAGTGAGAGGTGGTGTGAAGAAGCATTACTACCTTTTAAATGTTTTCAGTTATTTTTAGTGAATGGCAGGCCATATCTTGCCCTGCAGTGCTATAGCTTAATAAGCGCCATTAACAGTAGTCACAGGAAGAACTGCGTGATGAAAAGGACCAATCCTTCATCTCTGAATCTTCATCTGAAGAACATGGTGCACAGAACACTGGATAACAGTTTTCCAAGCAAACTGAACAATTGCCTGAATGTCCATTCACAGATTATCTGCCATGAAATTCTTACCATTTAGGAATTTGATTTTTAGTTGCCTTTAGTTGTCAGTCAAAAAATTCATGATTTCTCTACAGTTAGGATGTAGTCAAGAAATGCATCTTCTTTTTCCCGTCACTGAAGATGCATTATGCACTTTGTAGCAAGAAATACCAACTGTCCAAAGTTACACACATGGGCAAATTTTTGGCCAAATGTATTGTGCAATGAAGTGTGTAATGTATTGCACAGTCTGAATACAATTATTTCCGAGCAGTTGCTGTATACAAATGTTGCTTTAGTCTCAATACATGTGAATTTATCAGTGTTATTCAGATTATTTACAATTGCCTGAATGTCCATTCACAGATTATCTGCCATGAAATTCTTACCATTGGTCTACCAGTGAACAGTATCATACAGCATAGCAAAATTAGCATGAAAGCTTGTGTTTATATAGGGCTTTTCCAAACAGTGCAAGACATTTTGCAAAATTTTGTATGTCTATACAAGAGGAACTGCTTTTTGTAGCTTTACAATCTGTTTCAGAGAGAAAAAGTACTGATACAGTGTTTTGTGTGTTTAGCATTAAATCTGTCAGCTGATCATGAGTACCATTCGTTATCTTGTTTTACATGCAACTAGCAATGCCTTTCAACAAAATTCTGAAATGGCCTTCTTATGTGTGTAACCTCTACAAATCATATATAATCTTTTCTTTTGTACAACTTTATGTAGACTGTGAGTGGCAACAGTAGAAACGAAAATAGTGGTAGAATGATGTTAAAAAAAAGAATGTCTTTAAAAAGTGAATAAGCTTGAAAGTAAATTTAAAATCAGTTATGACATCTAAAATTTTTGTTGATTTAACTGGAATTTGGGTGTTTATTTCTTGTGTATATATTTCTTGATGTTTATTCATTCTAAAATTATGTTAAATTATGTAAAATTATTACCAATTCTCTTAAAGAATAAAATATACTTAATTATCAGAAAGAATAAAACATACTTAATTATCAATACTAGTCATGATATAGTCATTGTGCATGCAGTGGTGTCTGCCATTTGGTGAAGAAGTTAAAGTGGTTTAACTATAAAGTTTTTGTGAGACATTATTCCAGAAAGTATTAGTATTTATTCCAATGATTTCAAGGTTAGTTAGGTTATTCAATTACGGCAAAGCCTCGAGGGCTATCTGCCTATGGGGAGGGATGCCTTCGTGGAGGACTTTGTAGGGAAAACTGGCTCGTATATACGTTACACATAAGGAAAACCATGAAAACACCCATGCAGCCAGCCCGTTTGTGGCATTCAAACCTCGGACCGAACTACCAGTGATCAGCGACTTTACCGCTTGGCCACTGGTGGGCTCCAATGATTTCAAGAACTATGACATAACATTATTAAAAATGCAGTTAAATAATTAATAAAAGTTAATATATAGGTTCTTTTTTTATGCATTCCATTCTACTTAACTGTTATTTAAAATATTGAGTTTAAATTGCAGTAAAGAGAGATTTATTTTGCATTTCTTTGAAACTTTAATGAAAATTCTCCTCTCCCTTAAAGTAATATAAACAGATGGCTTTTTTGTTTTCTGTTAACAAATGTAAAATGCATACATTAAATTTCCACCGTTTCATTTGCCTTAAAAACATTAAATTCTTTTATTATGCAAAATATTCTGAAAATTTTAACACTTATATAATTTTTTTTTTAATGAAATTTGAATGTCTTATGAACTAAGCTGTAAAATGTGTTTCAAAGATAGCATTCTCAGTTTGCAAAATGCTATTTTCGATATTTATGGGTAAGCTTTGTACATTTTGTAGCTGTATTATGTCTCATAAAGAAGCATACTTAATTTACTGTCATTGTTTTCAAAATTACATGTATAACTTATCATTTATGCAAGTATAGAAAACAGTGGGAAGAAAAAAATTGCATTAGCTTAAAATATTTTTAAACTGCAATTTGAGAATTCATAATATAGCGTAATTGTGGGAGTTAATAAGTTGAAAAATGTGTAGCTATATCATGTATATATTATATTTATAAATAAATTAGATAGAGCTTTATGTATAGAATTACAGGGTATATAAAATGCCAGATTATAAGATATCATTGAAGAAAGGTATGTTAATTCTGTGTATAAAATTGAAGATTTATCTGTACATAAAAAAGGAAGAAAAATTAAAAATATTTGATGTATTATTTTATTTATACTAAGTGAAATAAAATCTTAATGTGATATTTGTAGCATCTTTGTGTTTTTATTTATTAGAATCTCTAATGGCCAGTAAAACATTTTAAATAAGTTGCTAGTAATTAATTTAATATTATGTGTTCTAAAAGCTGGGTCACTCAGCCATGGGATAATTTCATAGTTTCAAGAGGGCATGCAGTCAGCCTTTTAATTAGTTGTTAAATGTTTGGTTTTAATTTATGAATATAAAAAGCTGCTCTTGTTCAGGTTTTGGTATTTATCAACATTTTTTACACTTTTTGTTGTTTAGTTTATAAAACACCTTAAAAAATAATCTGGAACTATATAAATAAATGTTTGTATTTTTTTAGTTTTGGAAAAGGGGAGGAAATTATCATCTAGCAATGGTGAAAGGGATGCATGGTAAAACAAGTTGAGGAAATTGAATTCTCAGTGAAAACTGAATTTTAAAGTTGAATTCTCAGTGGAACAGCTGGGTACATGAACACTTAACTGTTCCACTGAGAACAAGTTTTCTTGAAATGTCTAACAGAAGACATTGATCTTGAAAACAGATAAACTAAATGCTTTTCATAATAAATTTTGATGTTTATTATGAAACATAACATATTTATTATGAAACATAACAGACATAATTACTCTTCCTTTTTTTTTTTTTTAAACCTTTTTCCTCTTCTCTGTTAACTTTTTTAAGTGTTTCTTATAGATTTCATATTAAATAATAAAATGCAATTAAATAAGTCATTTATTCTTTGATGGCATCCATCAGTTTCAGAATTAATAAAAATGAAAGAAATGTATGAAGTTAAATATTGATGTGAAGTTCTACATAATTTATATTTTATTGTAAATGACATTTCAGATATGAAAATTTAACTGATGATTATCTGCATTGCATGTAAGTCAAATTATAAGAGGCAGTAACTTCATTTTTATTATCTTTTTTCTTTTGTAGGCACTATCTCAAGTCTTATAGTATAAGAAGGCAGCTCTTAATCAGTCGGCCGTGAGCGGCAAAGTCACTGAACACTGGTAGTTCGGTCCGAGGTTCGAATCCCGTGAACGGGCTGGCTGCATGGGCGTTTTCGTGGTTTTCCCCATGTGTAACGTGTATACGAGCCAGTTTTCCTTAGAAAGTCTTCCACGGGGCATCCTTACCCTTAGGCAGATAGCCCTAGTGTGCTTTGCCATAATTAAATCAACCAACCAGTCATCACATCACATTTTATTTCTTCATTTGGCACACGTTTTATTTCTTGATGTGAGTTCTTTCCAGATTGGTAGTTTTTCACTGAAGCCTTCATTTATTCAGACTCCTTTATGTATCTGAAACAGCTCTCAAATTTTCAGAAAAATGTATGTAGATAGAAAAGTCAAACATTGTCTGCAATTTGTTTTTTCACTTTTATTTACGAACAATAGGGCTTGAACAAGTATGTAATTTTTCTACATAATCTTCTTCCCTTTTTATTATTTCTTCCAAGAAGAAGGTTTTTCAGTGAGTCTCAGACTCATATATGCATGGGTCCCCACACCACAAGAAAATCAGCAACTTCATAAAGCATCTTTGTGCAGTCCACAGAGAGGGCTGTTAAGGAAGGAGAGAGGTTTGGCCTGTAAGCAGGATGTTCCAGCAATTGAAAACCCAAGGTTTCAACAGTTTTTGCACTTTTACCATGTGTTAAGCTTTCTTAGCACTCATCTGATACATGTTTTACAGAAACCAAACACGTGGAGTGCATCAATAATGACTCACTGGTTTGCCAGTACCATTTCTTGATTCTGCTGGAGCTTCTCATCAAGTTTGGCCTGCTTCCACTTCATACATGATGGTCTGATCACGTTTAACCTTATTGATTGATCCACACGTATTAATTTACATATATGGTAGAGCTTTGCCCTCATAATGTATTAAAAGCTTCCAATGAATTTCTGTCCATGGTGCACCTTCCAGCCTGAGCAATCAAATAACTTGCCTTTGTTTCTACATGATGTGCACTGTTAGTGGAATGGCCATGTTTACAATGTCACATCAGCAAAGAAAATGATATAATAAAACTTCAATCATGTAACTGCAGTAGTACCAAATCTTATCAGACATGTGCAGGATGCAATGTGACACACCTAATGTCTTCTGTCAGAAATTCAGATAATTTTTTATTTTCCTCATCTAGCTTGAATGGCATACAGCAAACATTTTTAAATGATGCATTCCTTTGTTCTTTGTATCATTATTTAAGTTAGTCCTCATATACTTCTGATCTGATAAAAAAATTCCACCCTTGCTTTATACTCATATGTAATGCAAGGTTTCTCTTTTAATTGATATAATCTATCTTCTCCTCTATCAATAAACATGAATAATTTAGTAATATCCAGTTTTATAAGAAGTAAAAGCTTTTTTAAAATCCAACAAGGTTTCATTTGGCACAATTTTCTCATAAGATAACTATACAGGGTGTCCGCAAATGTTTTCCCAGATTGCAAAACATAACTCATGATTGTGTACAGATGACAAATAACCTCAAATGCATAAACTCTCAAAGTTTAGAAACATGCTGAAAACAAATTATAAACTTCCACATGTGCACACCAAGTAGCATGCAAAATATCTAACAAGCAAAAGGAATTTTGAGAAAATACAAGACTTTAAAGGAATTAAAAACTGGAAAAATTTGCTTCTGAAGTTTTCACAATTAAAAAGCAATTTACCATTACCAAAATTGATAAAGCAAACAATAATTTCAGTATTTTATAAAAAAAGTTCTATAATGAAATAATTGAAAATGAGCTGAAAATTCTTCTACCTATAGTATCTGCAAAAATAAAGAACTATTATTAACAAAATTTCTGCTTTTCACAAAATATGGAGAATTTCTCACTTCACTACAAACTACAGATTTTCCAATCTTTATGCCTTACCAAAATTTCGTAAAAATCCTGTAAAATTTAGATTTATAGCTAATAGTACCAGAAACTTCAAGAAGAATTTAGATAATATTTTTACCAATCTACTTAAGACTTTCTTATATAGTTTTTGAGAAAAAAAAAAAAAAAAACTACTGCTGGATTATTAACGTCAACATGAAAATCATTGAAGAAGTTAGAAATCGTAAACAATATTAACTGTTATGACTTTGAAAACATCTACCACTCTGCCACTCAATGAAATTTAGTAGAGTCTTTTAGAAATGACAAAATTTGTTTCCTGAAATACTTAATATTCTGGAATTAAAAAAATAGAAAGAATTTCTCCATTTTTAGTTATATAATAACTTTATTAAACATTCTAACATTCTTTACATGCAAAAGCAAAGAATACGAATGGGAAGTTCATATTCCACTCATATTTGTAACTTATTTCTATTTTCTAAAGAAGACAAATTCCTAAAGAGCCTTTCTGCTAACAATTTCAGTAAATTTGAATACACTTATAGATATATTGATGACATTATTACCTTCAACAATTTTAATCTCATCGAAAACAGCAACATCTACCCATATTGTCTAAAACTAAATAAGACCAATAAAAACCAAACAGAAACAGTATATCTCGATGTAAGTATTAATCATCTAACAGAAATTAAACTTATTGATAAAAGAAAAGATTTTAATTTTTCTACTAATAAACTTATAAATCGGAATTCTAGCATATCTATCTAAAAAAAAAAAAAATATTGCAAATACTATTATTATCCAATTTAGCAGAATTTTAGAAGTTTACACTGTAACAGAAACACAAAAAGAAGAAATTCTAATTCTCAGCAAAATTTTAAAAGATTATGAAATTCCTTTACAATTCATTAATAGTCTTTTAAAGAGATCTGGAGTAGTCTATACCCTGTAATACTTTTTAAAAGTATGAATTTTTTATCTGAAAGCTCCAAAAGAAAAGGATGTTACTTATTCTGTTACTAAACAAGGGCTTTGTATATTTTCAAAGTCGTCACTTTTTACTTTCTAACAATAGTTCTTTTACTTCTTTTTCTACCTTTTCCTGTAATTTTAATTTACAATTTAAAAAAATCTATAATTTCTCTCAATAAATATTGTAATCTTCTTCTTTGCCAAAATTTTCATTGAATTATTTAAAAGTTTTTTTGGGGGGTTTCAAAATTCCATCTTATATTCCAAATTTTAGCCTTTTGAGCGATTACGTTCTCGCCAAGGTTTTTTTTGTTTCGCCAATGAAGCCAAAATAGCAAACCTGTAAGTCACTGTAGTCGCGATCGCGGTATTATTTGTTTCCATTAAAGTCTAACGAAAATGCTAAGGGTTTTTAATTACTTATTTTGAGTTTTAATTAAGTTTTATATTTCACTAAAGTTTAAAATACTTTGGATTATGTGATATATGTTTAAAGGTAAAATTTTGATTTTATTTTTTCACTGAAATATCTTAATTATTCACATTCGGTTTCAATTCTTAAAATAAAATCGAATTCTGTTTATTTAAAGTACAAGTTCTAATTGAATTTTTTCCTTGTTTTTTCGCCTTAATTTTATAATTTCACTTAAATTTAAAATACTTTGGATTATGTAATAGTATATGTTTAAAAATAAAACTTTGATTTATTTTTTTCACTGAAGTATTTTATGAAGTATTTCGGTTTCCATTCTTTAAACAAAATAGAATTCTCTTTATTTAAAGTACAAGTTCTAATTTAATTTTTCCCCTTGCTTTGGGGAAGGGCGGAATTTTCAAATGAACTATTATAATTAAAATACATTGAACTGGTTTATCGGCTACTTCTGGATACGGAAAAGCAAGGATTTTTGTAAAAGAAAGATTTCAATTGATTTCAGTGTTCCTTTCCCCTGATAAAGTGGCCTTGAAGTTGATTGAATTACTCTTCTGTTATGTTCTTTTTCCTTTTAGTTTTTTTAAATTGGGGTATTGATTGTTTAAAAGTTTTCATTTTTTACATTTATTAAATTTTTTGTTGCATGTATTAGATTATTTGAAATTAATTAATTATGAATTTCAAAATTTTCATCTTTGTGAAGCATTAGTTCTAAATTTTATATAAATGCTTTTGGTGCAGCCGATTGCAACCAAAATAAGAGGTGCACAGCTGAACTGCATGTTACAGAGTCTTACATACAAAATTTCAACGTTCTGAGGCGACTCGGTTTTGAGTTATGCGAGATATATATGCATACTAACGTACGTACAGATGCCACAACAAAAAATCTCCTTTGAATCCATTTTAAATCAATTTTAATATCGTTTGCAGAAAAAGAGTCCTTTATTCTGTCCTTACGTACAGATGTCACGCAGATACAACGTTAGATTGCATTCGATAGTGGTCAAAATGGCTATTTTCGTTGAAATATGTTAACCGGAAGTTTTCGTGATTGCAATAGCCGTGCCTAGATGCCGTTCGTTGCGATACTTTGAGCTTCCACGCAGACGCTGGGCTAACCATCAGGATAAATAAAGTAAAATTTGTGGTTCACATCGAAGTGTTCGAAGCCCATATCTCGCAGTTCATCTGATTTATATCCCTTTCAAAAATCCATGTAAATAGTTGCTCCTTTCATAACATTTTCTATAATGACACTCAATAAAGTTTTTGCTGATCGATCAGAAACTGCAGTTAAAAACCTTTCATACCATTCTCTGCACAATCCGCCTAAAACCCATTGTTGTGGAAGAAACCCCACAACGATGCTTTTGCTTCTGGCGAAAAGGCTTTGGTCTATTTCGACAACCTGTTGCTTCTGCCGATTTTCATTATTGTTCAGGCTATTAAAGTTTCTGTGCAGACGTTCCGCATGTAACTGTTCCAATCAACAGTCGTATTATGGTCCACCTTAAATTGTAATTCGCAAAATTCAATTGATGTCACCTCAGGGCACCAGAGATGTAATGGGCCTCACGGTTGCGCCTCCTTTTCTCTCACTGCACAATACTTTCCTACAACGCCATTTCACGGTGCTTTATTGAAAATTTAATTTCATTTCATGATCTTTCGAGCACAACTGTTTCTTTTGATGATGCCTCTTGTTTGAAATAAATCAATCGCAGGCTTTTCATCCATGGGCACTTTCCAAATTGTGAAATTCATGACAAGCGGAGGGGTAGGGGAAGAAAAAGGTTTAAATAAGTGTTTATTTGTGTTGCGAAAAAGAAATTGAAGTCGTGAATTGTGTTAAATGAACTCAGGAATTATCCGTCTCGTTAACAGAAGTCGTGAGCATCACTGGCGACAATAATAGTGTGGCGATTTGATTTACCGCCCACGGAAACGTAATAGTACCAAATTTTATTAACGAGAGAACAGGAGTAAAACAAATGATAACGAGTTTCTTTTTTGAAAGCAAATTATAATGTTCATTTTTTAATCGGAACTCTTTTACAGTTGCCACTTGAGCAAAAAGAAACTCGCAGTGCGAAAAATTTTCACAGAATTTGGAGTTTCAGTATTGCAAATTATGTCATCCCACACCCTCTTTCCACTCTTTCCAGTGATAGCGTTATACCTCAGTCTTTCAGATATGCAAGAAATCTCAATCTTTGATCAGTTCTTGTGTTTCTAGGGTAAATGTGTAGAAGGATCATTATTATTAGGAAGTGATTGTGAGATTTTGGAGTTATCGGCTTCACATGTCTGAAGATTTGTTATCACTTCATTTTTGAATCTGAAATATGATTTTCAATTTACCTATCGATATTCTTTGAATTTTGCCTACTGTCACATTGAAAAATTTCTCAAAACGTTTTCTAACTAAATGTGGTCCAAGATAGTTGATTTAAGAGAAGATGAAATTTCGTTATTAAGGATGAATACATGCGAACAATTTGCTAAGCCTTTGTATACGAAAACTGTTTTTTTTCCATAGGTGGTTGTTGAAATTGGTTTTAGATTTTGGATGTGGTTTCGCAATTTTTGCATAAAACCTGAATGCTTAACAGTTGGAGACTTATTGAAAAATTTTTCAGGCAAACAGATTAGTGTACCATACGCAAGTTCAGGAGAAGAACAAAGCAAAACCTCTTTAACAGCGAATCGAATGCCAAGAACTAAAGATGGACAACCGTCCAAAAATATGACGTAAGTTCGACGTTGGCGTTCTGTTAAACAATTGGATTGTGGATGATAAGCTGTGGTGGTGGTACCTTTGAAAAACCTATGTATTTACTGAAGGATTGTAAGAGTTGACTTGGTGTGTGTCAAGGTGTCTTAATCAGATGATATCTTCTCTGATGTTCCAAATTTGAAAATCCAAGTCGTGAGAAGGGCATTTGCGATGGAATCTTCAGTTTGTTTTTCTAAAGAAATAACTTCGATCCACCGAGTGAATCCATCAATAACAGTAAGCAGATACCTAAAACATTTGTAATATGATAAAGGGCAGCATCATCAAAGTTAAGGTGCTGGAAACGTTCATTTAGAAATCTGAAGGCAGCACCTGGAGAATTAGTATGCTTGTGAACTTTGACTCATTGGTATGCCAAGCATGCTGTAGTCCTCAGTTGGCAAACTTTGTTTATCCTAGGCCAAAAGAATCTTTTTGTCAGCAGCTTCATTGTTGCATGAATTCCAGGCTGGGATAAGATAGGTATACAGAAAAATATATTATTTCACGAAATTCTTTAGGAATGTACGGCCGGTTAGAATTAGTGGAGTTATCACAGTGCATTTTTTTTTTTTTTTTTCCTATCCGAGATAGGAATTTGTACTGTTTTGAAAAACTGGAATTTGATTTGAGAATCTTAAGGTCTTCATCCTCCTGGCAATCTGCAATAACTGTATAATTAATTATAGCTGAAGTAGCGATAGTTTGAATTCTCGATAGTGTGTCTACTACAATGTTTTCTTCTCCAAAAATGTACCGTATGTCTGTAGTAAATTCGGCAATGTAGTTCAGTTGCTGTCTTGACGAGACATTTTCTAAATTTTGCTAGACGGCAAAAAGTGATAAGTCTAAATTCTGCTAGATGGTTAAGGTGATCAGTAAAAGATCGTCCTTCCAGAATGTGTTTAAAATGCTTTATGGCCAAGTAGATTCTCGATCGTAAGCATTGTAGTTTCTCTGCATTGATGACAGAATTCGAGAAAAAAGCTTGGAGGTTGTTTCTCACCGTTATGTACAGTTGATGGATCGTGGCTTCCATGGCAGAATCAGATGCATCTGTTGCTAAAATGATCAGCGCAGTCAGATTAGGGTGAACTAAATTTCCTGATTTGTACAATGCGCTTTTGATATTAGGAATAACATTCTGCGCATCTTCGGTCCAAACTAAAGGATTTTTACCTCAGCCAACTTATTTTGCTGTAGCCAGTGTAGCAAAAAGAAAATCGCAATGAGAAGAGTTTTTAACAAATGGCATTTTAGTGTTTCAAATTATGTCTACACAATGACAATTAGCAAATTATGGTAGCTTTCTTGAATAATGAAAGAGACTTCATGCCAAATATATGCTGATGCTTACTATAGCTAATTTACGATACAAAATTTCACAATCATTTCTTTGATTTAGGGCATTTTGATCTAATTTTAAGTTCTTGAAGAAAATAAACAAAAAGTAAATCGGTTTACAGGTGAAAATAATAAAAACAGAATTTGATCTTATTTTCTCACTAATTCGTGCTCTTTGCGCTTTGATTTTGAACGTGAAATACAGAAGTAATTCACTTTTAACTCACATACAATGAAATTGATTAAGTGCGGTTGGCATTGCACCATTTTGCCATGCTTCTAATTTATTTACTATTTAAAAAGAAGCATTTATTAACAACGCTTCCGTTTAGTAAAAATACTTCGAGTAAAAACACTTTTTGATTTCTTTCAAACGTTTACCGTTTCCAGACTAAATTAAAGATGTATCAGCTAGTTTCAATGCTTATTTTTACTTACTTGATATTTACCACTTTTTGCTTGCCAACATATATGGATAGAAATCGCATAAGTGAAGGTAAAGTCAATTTGTGCACTCTGATCATCTTTCTCATATTTCCCATTATAATTTGAAATAATTTAAATATTGAATGAATTTTGAATGTATATAAATAGTTTTGGTCAAATTACATGGAAAATTGCAGTATCTTTTGTACAATGGGTAAGGATTATGTTAATTTATTTAACAGTTAAATTTTGAGTTAAAGTTTCTTTCCTGTCTTCCTGAATTTCAACTTACTACTTCCGGCCAGAACGTAGTTTTCGGATCGTGTTTGAAAACAAATGAGAACAAGTATTTAACTGTGAAGTCCTACTTAGAGTTAGAGAGAACTAGTGATTCTGACTAGCGCGCGTTCGCCTTCTTAATCTATTCTCTCTTAGGCTATTATCATGCTCGTCCGTACTTTAGGCCCTTAATAGCTTCGCCGTTATTTAGAATTAAAGGGCCAACTCTGTTAGAATTTTGATAGCTTTGGCTGTATCTTTTTAGTTAAGATTAGTTAAGTTTAATTTCTTAGTTTTCTAAGTTCAAGGTCCGAGTGGCGGCTTTATTGTAAAACTCCAAGACGGAGTTCTGTTAAACTTTATTGGAATAATAAAGGGTAATTTCACCCTTCTTACATGTTGTCCTCTATCTCACGAACTCAATCGATTATTCCCTGATCAGTTCTTAAGATTCTTCAACTGTAACTTAAAAGTACACAGTACAGAATCTTATAAATGTAAGACCCTTATCACATCTAACGACGGTTCCCGCTAGACGGGACTCAACTGTAACTTAAAAGTACACAGCACAGAAACTTATAAATGTAAGACCCTTATCACGTCTAACGACGGTTCCCGCTAGACGGGACATTTCTGAGAAACGAGATTCTGGTAGCACTGGCTTAAACGGGAGTATTCCTAGAAAAAAAGCTCCGCTGGAAGCGAAGTCCCGGTTACGCGGGATATTTTGAAACCTCGACGAAAATGCTTCGTCTGCAGCTCTGTCCCGGGTAGAGATCAACCAAGCAGACGAAATTTCTGCTTCTGAAAGATCACGGGATCCCAGTCTGAGCGATAATCGATTATTGTTTGGCGTTCAAGTCTGTTTAGTAAATAAAAATTGTAACCTAGCTACGTAAGTTTCGTGGAAACGTGCGGGTTCTGAGAAATGTCCCTTTCGACGTCCAGTCCCTCGTAGAGGAAACATAAGTGATAGGGACTTAACATGAAATGCCTCAAGAGATGAAGCTCTGCTGGAAAAATAAGATTACAGGCGCAAATCTACGTAATATTGATGTAAACGGCAATCTCGCTAAATTGGCGAGATATCGTCAAGATGGCGATGATTGTAGGCGATTAATTTTTGTGGCCAAATTTGGCGTAAATCGGTAAAAGTCGCCACGCTGCTTAGTTAAAACTTAAACATAAACTGCTAAGTCAAATCCCTTCAAAATTATTCCAACTATAAATAGAACACTACATATCAAAACTACGTTTTTCAATTCAATATCATCAATTTCATGTTACCTGTTTCAGAAATTTCTTTTTTGAATGACGTGGAGGCAGCTGAAAAAGTGCAGCAATTGATGCACATTGGTTTGCAGCCAAACAGACAACTAAACGAAACTAGCGGATCTGTAACTGCAAATCTCTCTCAAGCCACAACTAATTCCTCCCCAAACGGAAACAGGTCCGAAGAAAGCGCTGAGAAGAATGACGCCAGAAATTCTGAAAAACAAAGAGAATTTACAGTTCATTATATATATACCGGAAACAATCGGAATAGGAGTAAAAGGCTGTACGAAAAAAATAGCTCATTTGATGTACGTAATCCAGATATAAGTGAGAAGAAATCTCATAAACCAGGAAACTTTCTCTATATAAGTAAGTAAATTTCCCTACTATCTATTTCAGCTAAGTTTCAACAGATATAATTTTTTCCTTTTCGTATTTTCTTCTTAAATTCATTTATTCATATATTTCTTATTTTTTGCATGTTTTTTGTTGGTTAAAGGCTTAAAATATTTTCATCAATAAAACAACAAGTGAATACATTTAACGAAACTCATTGATTTTTCGTATTTGTAATAAAGTTATTAGTTTAATATTACTGTATTAAGATGATAAAGACTGTAGATTGAAAGTATTTGTGATAGTCTAAACAGCTTTACGTATGCTGCTAATATTCAGGGTGAATCTGAACAAGGGGCCAAAACTTTATGGAGTGATAGAACGCAGCTATACAAGCAAATAAAGTCTGGGCGGAACGCAAACGGCTAGCCGCTAGGTGGCATTGTAAATGGTATAAAAAGGGTCGGCCCTCGCACCCAACGGCAAATTATTTTAATTGCTGTTTGTGTACTATGTGGACTATGACCTAATCTGGAAAACTACGAAATTAAGTTAATTATCATAGTTATCTTTAAGTTTGACTTTATTTGCAGACATATCATCAAAGAAAATGAGAAGACAGTAACAAATCACCTGACTCTCAAATTGGACTTTATAGTTAATCCAGAATTTTCCTTTTACCATATTATCTTATGCATATATAAAACATTTTTATCCACTCCACGATGGCTTATCCTAGCTGTGACAATGTAGTCACTCTTTTCACAATTTGTATCTTGTCCCCTGGACTTTGTAATGCATTTTGTTTTCAGGATTGCAAAAAATGCATTTTGTTTTCAGGATTATCTTAAATGATGGCATTTTCTACCGTATATTGGCGAGACGATGACTGGTTATACGAACCACGAAATTTCCAGGGCGATGGATTGGTCGAGGATGTCCCATAGCTTGGCTCCAAGATCACCCGATCTCTTGTGTTTGGATTTTCCCCTTTGGTGCCATATAAGAAGCCTAATTTATGAATGCTTCGTTGAAACGAATATGGATCTAGTCGTCAGGTTCGCCGTTGTGGCAGGCGATACTCGGGAAGTGCCTGGTGTTTTCGTAGATGTCCGCCAATCCCTATCGCGCAAGTGTGAAGCCTGCCGGAAGACTTTTTCAGGAATTTCTATGACCATGTCCTGTTAATAATATGTTTTCTGAAGTATCTCCTCTCATTCTTGCGTTAATTCTTTAAATGCGATAGTGGAAACCTACTCTTTGACTTCTTACCGCTTGGGTTCCAACCATACATTCTTTGACGAATATTGCTCGTATAGCTGCGTTCTGTCACTCCGTGAAGTTCTGCCCCTTTGTTCAAATTCACCCTGCATATAGTATATGTGATGAAAAAGATATAGAAATGTGGATGGCGTTGAACGTAGATTCACACTGGAGAGGAAACTTGACAGTCGAGTAAAAAGACTAAATATTCAACTTTATTTAAATTGACACCTGTGAGCGCAATTTACTTGGCACTTTAATCGTGCCTATTCAAGAACATTTACATTTCTGATACTGTTACGATAGGAAAAGAACAGAGCGAAACAGCGTCCAAGCGGCAATAAAGTGCTCAATAATCCATTGTTGAGGCTCACCAAGAGAAGGTTTTGATTTAGGTTACTTTATAATGTATATGAAAGCAAGCAACCTTATAAGATATGAAAGAAATTCAAGAAGAGATGAAACCATCCAAGCACAGATGGAAGGGGGTAATATCTGTTCAAGAAAAGATTGAAGCAGGTCAGGAAGAAATTAAAAGAGAAATTACTGGCATCATAGAAAACAAATTCAAGGCTATGGAAAGAAGAATAGACGCGGTTGGAAATAAAGTTGAAGAAATCGAAGAAAGATTTTCTGCTCTCTTCTACTCTAATCTCTCGCTGGTTAATCCGATAGCACGTCAAGTTGCAACTTCAATATCATCTCAACCAGACCCGTGGAGTGATGAAGAAATCAAGAAAGATCAGCTGGAAGACGACGATATCGAACCCATAACTGCAAAGCAATATTGGGCTCTCCAGGACTCGTTCCATATTCGAAACGGCGTCTCATAGTACAAGTTCAAATCGGATGATAGAAATACATTCCAGTGCCAGCTGATACTATCAAGATCATGGATCCCAGGCGTTCTTAAAGAAGTACGTAATAGTCCGACAGGAGGTTATTTCAGAATAAGGAAGACTTTGCTCAGAGTTCGAGAGCACTTCCACAAGAGTAAGTCAAGGGCTGACGTGTTAAAGTGGTGCAAGTCTTGAGATGCCTATGCGGATGGGAAAGAAGCGAAGAAAAGCGGCCGAGAGAAGTTGCGAAGTTACAATGTAGAAGCGCCTTTTGAACGCATAGCATTCGACATCCTGGAACGTCTGTCATTTACTGCTTATGGTAACAAATATATCCTTTGTCAGAAAAGTTCCAGGACAATTTTTTTTTATTTCTGAGTTTACAGTATTAAAAAAGGAACAAATGTTGTTTTCATGTTACCTTGCATGTATTCTTACGTGACATGATCTTGGCCATGTTTCTGCGAAAACTTACTAGGCGGCAGGGCTGTGCTTAGCAACACACTGTTCGGATTGTTGTCGCATTCGTTAAGATGACACCATGGATGCTGACTATGAGCAAAGGGGGAACATTAAGTTCTGCGTTAAGCTCGGGAAAACCCTTAGTGAAGCGTGGAACATAATTAAGCAAGCATATTCAGGCAAGGCACTTTCAAGAAGTAGTGCTTTCGAGTGGCAAAAAAGGTTTCGTGAAGGCAGCGATTCGGTGCAAGACTATCCCAGAGCTGATGGTCCATCTACAGCACATACGAAGCAAACGTGGAGCGTGTAAGGCAATGATTGCGAGAAGACCGTCGCGTAATTGTGAATATGGTATTAGAAGAACTGAATCTGAATTGCAATGTGTGTCATTTTACTGAAGATTTAGGGAAACGGAACCTTAATGCAAAAATCTTCCCTCACTCACTAACAGATGAACAGAAAGAGGTAAGACGAAGAATATTTCTTGAGTGAAAATGTGACTGAAGGAAAGCTTCATCAAGATCATTGCAGACATCCAGCGGGCTCTGACAAATGAGCTTGCAAGCATCGCAGTTGAAGATTTCCTTGCTTGCTTCGAAGACCTCCAGAAACGTTGGCAGTTGTGTAAAGATATCCAAGAGGACTTCTTTGATAGCATCTAGGATCAATACTTGGTAAAAGCATTTTTTTTTATTTTTTATAACCTTTGGCGTGGAACTTTTCTCATCTTCGCTGTCATTGATTATTTGACGAAGTGGGTTGAAGCATATCCTATCTCTGATCAGGACGCTGTCGTAGTAGCAGAGGCAATGTTATAGCATTGGATTTCCAATTACATTCCGCTCAGGAAGGAATTTTACCTTGACTGTAATTAAAGAACTCTGTAAACTACTCAGCGTGACAAAACTCAAACGAAACTTTTACTTCCCAGTCGGACGGTATAGTAATCGAACAGTATAGTGATCAAAACTTAATAAACTCTCGGTGATGGTTTTGAGAAACCAACAGGACTAGGACCAGATGTGATCGCTGTTGTTACTGTCCTTTCACAGCTACCGGCTATTCCTCATCCCCCAATGGCCTTGTGTTCCTTGCGATCTGTTGTTTGGCCGCCCTCCGGATGCGCCTTTATAGCCTGAGGCGTACATTTAGAATCTCCAGGCAATGACTGGAAGTGACGCACAATTCTGCATGAGAGCGAGTCGATTTGGAGACAGAGAATATGAAGAGCAGATAGAATCAATAGAGCTACAAGGTATCGGTTTAATGAAGGTGGCAGGGTGAGGTTATGGAATCCGATTCGACGGAAAGAACTATGTCCTAAACTGCAATCAGCCTAACATGACTAAACCTATGCAGTCCTAAACAGTACAAATGACGTCGTAATTCGGATCCGCAAGTCGCCAGATTCTAAACCTAAAGCCGTTCATTATGATAGGCTAGCTCCTTACTATGGCCGTAGTACATAGTCCCCATAGTGTGTGTAATGCAAATTGTATACTAAGATTATGGCCCGATATGAATATAAATTTGGAAATTCATGCATTTATGTATTGATTCAGTATTTGATCTGTTTTATGTATGATTTAGTATGTTATTTATTGAAATTATTATTTTTGCATTGCATTTAGTGTTCAGTTATTGATTTGATTTTCGTTAGCTGTAAGTATGGCTTCTTGTACAGGGATTGTACTGCCCGAGACGCGCAATCCTTGGGAAGGAAGCTGTGTTGCAAATTTTGTATATATCTGAATAATTTTAGTGAAATTATATGTAAATTGTTGTATCTATTGTAAAATGTGACATGAAAGGCCTCAATGTAACATGCAATATAACATGTAAGGCAACTATTAGTGGGATGCCAGATAAACAAATTTTCGTAAAATTTTGGGCTGTGTACTTCGGCGACATGGAAATTTAATTAAAATGAAAGAAAATCATTATGATTTATGAAGTGAATCGTTATTATGAAATGTTCTTGTCGTTATAAGTAAATAATGATAAAATGTAATGTCAAAATTTAATTTTATTCGAAACCACATATTTGTAATACTTTATGAGAATTATTCGAATTTTTTAATTAAAACCATGTCAAAACATTTTAACAGATTGCCTAAGTAAACGAACTAATATGCTTACCGAATATCAGCATATCTTCACATACTAATCCGGTTTTTTTTTTTTTTTTTTTTTTTTTTTTTTTTTTTTTTTTTCTAATATATATATCAAAGAAACAAAAAAAAGTTCCACCATCTACTTTTAACTCCTCTTTTTCTTTTCTTTTTTTTTACAGAAGAGCGTGAAATCCAGATTTTCATGCCAAAGTCTCCTGTTCTGAATGGGTTGAACATTCAAGATAATCCGCAATATATTCAAAGCAATGAATTAAATCCTTATGTGAAAACACAAGAAGTTCGAAGCGATCGAATAAATGACCATGACAAAGGAATGAATGATCCCATTTATGAAGCAAATGCTAACAACAATGAGGGAAAAATTTACGGAGATTTACCTAGGTCTCAAATGCAAGGAAATGTAGCTATCAATCTAGCTCCTGGAAAGTATCCAAGTTGGTATCAATTGAAATTACAATCTCCAAAGAGCTTAACACAAAATTTAAAGCCTGCAGTTTCTTTTTTTAAAGATGAGATTGAACAACAACGCTATTCGAAGGAAGCTTTCAAAGTCGGCCAATCACAAACGAGGGATGTCCTGAGAAATAAGGCATTGCCTTTTCCTGCACGAATGGCTCCTAGAGACAGTAAAAATGACGCAGAATTTTATACCACCGTGCTGAAGGGGAAGGGCTTCTCGACAACAGGTAAAAATGATTCTATTTTGGATAATATGTTAAATATAATTTATGCAAGAGTGTAAAGATATACTTACCACTGTGAAAGGTAAATAACACAGGTGTTTTTCCACGACAAGATATGCAACTCTGCAAGACAGCAGAAAATAAATAACAGTAGATGAGGAGTTTGCGTTATCATGTGAATGTAGAATACACTTTGGAATTTAAGCATGGAAAGCTGAAATAGAGTCCGCTTCCATCCGGGGATTTTGATGACGTGCTGTCAATTTTGAAATCAATTTCCTGCTATGCAAAGCTCCGCATATGTTATAATGCCTCTAATCGCGAATTTGGGGCGCAAATCTTAATCATTGGCTGTTAAACATAACACTTTAACTTAACACTTTCATCGAAGCAATGGTGCGACTTTGTCCCATCCTCTGCGATAAGAGTCTGCGCCGCTCTCCGCAGCGCTAAAATTCAAACAAAACGCAAATTCCTTCAAAACTTGTTTATTTTACTTTGGAAAATAATAATCAATTGCAATGAATAACAATCCTCACCATAATCATCTATTTGTGCTTACGGACATAAAAGTAATAATAAAATAAGAAATAAAAATCCTAAATATTGCGTAAATTAGAATCTCTTTGAACTATGGTAGTTTTCAAAACAAGGTACTAATGCTGGCTTTGATGTGCATGTTACACACACATAGATAGCGAGTCTCTCGGTGAATTTTGTGCGAATTACATACGACACACTTCCGTATTACAGATGAGGACAAAGTTCCGTGTTGGCGTAGCGTTACTTGAGGTTACTGTTATTATGTCCTAGTAATGTTGTCCTTCCATGCGTGACACATCGGAAGCAGGGGCGTAGCTAGAGGAGGGCAAGGAGACATCTGTCCCCGGGCACAGAATCCAAGGGGCGCCAAATTGATGTTACGACATTTTAGAATTAAATGTTTTCCATCCTTGGCCAAGCAGTAGGGGGCGCGAAATCTTCAGTTGCCCCTGGGCGCTGAAAACCCTAGCTACTACTCTGATCCGAAGATTTATGAAAGAGAGCGAGAAAGGTAATAAAAGTAAGAGGAGAAAAACGTAATAAAGAAAGAAGAAAAACGAGAAACGTAATAAAAGAGAAAGAGAAAAAGGGAAAGAGAACCTACGAGAAACGTAATAAAAGTGAAAGCACTACAAATTGGGCTCCTGGCACCACCTTGTAGAAATGTTGTAAAGGCAAAATATTAGGCTCTGCTATACGCTAAGATGTAGATGAAATAAGTCGCGGGACACGCTGCAGTAATATAGAAAAAGATTGTAGACGAGTTATCTCGCATAGCGCATAGCGAATATTCCTAGAAGACGAGTTATCTCGTCACTCGCGACGAAAGTGTTAAAAAGGGCCTACAGAGTTAAAAATGTTACTGTAAACCTTCAAGTAATCAATCGTTTTTTATGTCACATACGCCCCCTGTGTAATTGAATTTGCTAGGAAATTGGGTATTGGAGTACGATCATATTTTATCAAATCATGAGGATATTTCCTCTTTTTGAAATGTTAGCATCCTTGTTGAATGTATTCATTGTCGTATAACTGCGCACAAGTCTTTTGAGTGCATCAAATTAAACAAAATATGTCTTTGCCTGCGAATGGTAAGCCTGATATATGATATACTTTGTTCTGTTGCATGCAGAAGATCTTCTAAATTTATATCGTAGACCAACCTCACTACATGCTGTGCAACAGAGATAGGACGTCATTCCGAAATGATGCAATGCATAAAACACTTTTAATCTGCAATCTGCACAAAATAAAAATTAGACAGTTCTATGTCTGCCGTCCTGCGGAGGTTATTCAGAAATTTAATTTGCATTTTTAGTGCCTCAAAAGCTCAATTTAGGATATGTATTAGATTTACGTATAGCATGGTTCTAACACAGATATTTTGACATGAAATCGGACTTTTTCTGAAATTACATTCCGAGTTTTCTCCATATTTCGATTCTATGATTCAATTTGTGCCCAAATATTTAATTTTGTAAAATTTGGTCGGAAACTTACTGGGAAATTAAAAAAGGTAGCTTGGCCCATATTTTTCAATTTGCGCCAAGAATAATTCACTTGACGAACTTCTCAATTTATACTAACCTATTTCCTTTTCCCTTTCAATGTACACGAGCGGAAAAAAAGTTACATCGTTCATTCTTTCAAATTATTTTTGACAAGGTGCGTATAAACATACTGGACATTGTTATTGCTTATAATGAAAATGCAAATATCAAGACGAACCAATATATAAATTCTCGTATATCTTCGAAATTTGTGAATACGAAACTCTACTTTTTTTTTAATGTATGCCTAGATAATTAAGATGATGTTAAAAGTATTATAGATTAAACTTCAAAAATGTTTTCGAAAAATATAGTATAAAAATTACAAAAAATGCAAATTTAAAAAATAAATCATAAAATATCTGCAAACGGTTTTTTTTTTTTTTTTTTTTTTTTTTTTTTTTGTATTTAACCTTTAATTTCCAACTGCGAATGAAGGAATCAAGTAAGTTAAAAAAAAGAATGTTAATAAAGGGAGAAAAGGAAATTGAGTATTGGGATACTAAATTCAATTAACATTGAGAAGCTAAAATTTGGAGAGCTAATTTTTTAAATATTTTAGTTCTTTGTAGTCTCATTTCTCATAGTCAGTTCTTGAAGTCTCATTTTAGTTCTTTGTAACATTTTGGGTAGCCATTGAAAACGAGGGAGGGGGGAATTAAGAAACTACTCGTGCGATTTTTACAAAACTTGGGATTTTGGCATAATCTAAGTTGCAAGATCGAAATGTGGAAAAAATCGGTATGTCATATCAGGAAAAGTCCAATTTTGTGTCAAAATACGTATATTAGAACAATGCTATATTTATCCTTTAAGTCATGCTTTCGAGATATGAAAAACACAAGTTAAATTTCGGCAATCGACTGACCGAGTAGAATGGGGAGGTATAGAACTCAGCCATTTTTTTTGCGCGCAAGTCATACATTCTTTCATTTGCCCCCTTTTTATATCTTTAAATTATTTTCTATTTGGCTGTAAGCTTTCATACTTGTTTTCAGAATAAGCTAAACATAGCCTTTATAAACAGATTCATCAAAACAATTATTTTCAGTACTTCTTCTGTTTTAAAATTCTTAACTTATTTTTCAGGCGTGATTTCAGAACTTGAAAATTGATAAAAGTTTTAACATGAATATATAATGCATTGTCGGAAAAAATTTCTTGAAATCAAGTATGGGAAAGATTTGCACTATACATGGTGGATTTTTCGAATTCAGAATATTTTGGTTATTCAGATATTACTTATGCTATAATCGTTTTAAATATTACGCAGTTTGCAGGCCTCAAGCCACACGTCTCTTGTTGCACGTCTCTTGTATTTCAGTGAAACAATTTATTTTAAAATCTTTCAATTAATTAATTCCTATCACTTTTAGAAATATCATAATAACTTCAATAGGTAAATAGAAGCCCAAAATTCTTTTAATTGCAATCATTTGTCGACAAACTATACGTCTTACGAATTAGAGATTCAAAGAAAACTTTGTTCATAAAGTTATAAAGAAATTATCACATTCTCTTGTTCTTGCTATTGTAGTAATGATTAACACGGTAATTGAACCAAAATGGAACAGCTGATTTTCCACGTTCCTTGCAGCTATAAGCCTGATAAATGCGGAGCTAATAGAAATATGAATGGCAGCTCATCATCTCATGGATTTGATCAACCGCAAAGAGATCAACCCCCGTCATCAAAGGATGAGAAATCCTTTGAAGAGTGTTTGATCACCCCCGGTCATCCTTTAAGGAGTCATCCTTTAAATTATAAGGAGTTATTGCATATCCTCTTGTGCGTTCTAGTATGTTAGTCTCCGACGGAAAGCTAGCAACTGGAAGATCTATGACTCGATGCGGGCAAAGGCACAGTTGATTTTCTATATTTTCTGAACTGAAATGGTCGGTTAGTATTTTAGGAACTCGGATATATATAAGTTACTTCTGGTGAGGGAAAGCAAAGTACTTGTAGAATAAAAGGAAAAAGGATTACTCACGTCAGACAGTTGAATCTCAAAATAGGTTATAACTGGAAGATCTTTGAATCTCAGAACAGGTTACAGCTGGAAGATCTATGATTCGATCCGGGCGAGGGCACAGTAGATTTTTTATGTTTTCTGATCCAAAACGATCTCTTAGTATTTTGCGAACACCTATATATCTAGTTATTGCGGGCGAGGAAAAAGCGAAATACTAGTAGAATAAAAGGAAAAAGGAATCCCCACGTCAAGCAGTTGAATCTCAAAATAGGTTACGAATGGAAGATCTATAATTTCATCCAGGTAAGGGTACAGTTGATTTTCTATGTTTTCTGAACCGAAATGGTCATTTAGTGTTTTAGGGATTCGGATACATCCAAATTACTGCCTGTAAAGAGAAAACAAAATACTAGCAGGCTAAAAGGAAAGGGATTCCTCGCGTCAAACAGTTGATTCTCAAAATAGGTTACAACTGGAAGACCTATGATTTGATACAGGCCAGAGCACAGTTTATTTTCTATGTTTTCTGAATCGAAAAAGTCACTTAGTATTTAGGAATTGACATTTCGAAGTTACTGCGGGTGAGGGAAGAGCAAAATGCTAGCAGACTAAAAGGAAAAGGGATTCTTCACGTGAAACAGTCGAATCTCAAAATAAGTTACAACTGGAAGTTCTATGATTCAATCCGGGCGAGGGCGCAGTTGATTGTCTTTTTTTTTTTTTTTTAGTTGAAATGGCCCCTTACTAATTTAGGAATTCGTGTACATCCAAATTACTGCCGCTAAGGAGAAAACAAAATACTAAGAGACTAAAAGGAAAAGGATTTCTCACGTCAAATAGTTGAATCTCGAAATATGTTACAACCGGAAGACCTATGATTTGAGCCGGGCCAGGGCACAGTTGATTTTTTATGTTTTCTGATCCAAAACGATCTCTTAGTATTTTGCGAACACCTATATATCTAGTTATTGCGGGCGAGGAAAAAGCGAAATACTAGTAGAATAAAAGGAAAAAGGAATCCCCACGTCAAGCAGTTGAATCTCAAAATATGTTACGAATGGAAGATCTATAATTTGATCCAGGTAAGGGTACAGTTGATTTTCTATGTTTTCTGAACCGAAATGGTCATTTAGTGTTTTAGGGATTCGGATACATCCAAATTACTGCCTGTAAAGAGAAAACAAAATACTAGCAGGCTAAAAGGAAAGGGATTCCTCGCGTCAAACAGTTGATTCTCAAAATAGGTTACAACTGGAAGACCTATGATTTGATACAGGCCAGAGCACAGTTGATTTTCTATGTTTTCTGAATCGAAAAAGTCACTTAGTATTTAGGAATTGACATTTCGAAGTTATTGCGGGTGAGGGAAGAGCAAAATGCTAGCAGACTAAAAGGAAAAGGGATTCTTCACGTGAAACAGTCGAATCTCAAAATAAGTTACAACTGGAAGTTCTATGATTCCATCCGGGCGAGGGCGCAGTTGATTTTCTTTTCTTTTTCTTTCTTTCTTTCTTATTTTTATTTATTTTTTATTTATTTTTTTTAGTTGAAATGGCCCCTTACTAATTTAGGAATTCGGGTACATCGAAATTACTGCCGCTAAGGAGAAAACAAAATACTAGCAGGCTAAAAGGAAAAGGATTTCTCACGTCAAATAGCTGAATCTCAAAATAGGTTACAACCGGAAGACCTATGATTTGAGCCGGGCCAAGGCACAGTTGATTTTCTATGTTTTCTGAACCGAAATGGTAATTTAGTGTTTTAGGAATTCGGATACATCCAAATTACTGCCGGTAAGGAGAAAACAAAATACTAGCAGGCTAAAAGGAAAAGGATTTCTTACGTCAAACAGTTGAATCTCAAAATAGGTTACAATTGGAAGACCTATGATTTGATCCGGGTCAGGGCACAGTTGATTTTCTATGTTTTCTGAACCGAAAACGTCGCTTAGTATTTAGGAATTATGACATTTCGAAGTTACTGCGGGTGAGGGAAAATCAAAATGCTAGCAGACTAAAAGGAAAAGGGATTCTTCACGTCAAACAGTTGAATCTCAAAATACGTCACAACTGCAAGATCTATGATTCGGTCCAGGACAGGGTACAATAGATTTTCTATGTTTTCTGATTCGAAATGATCCCTTAGTGTTTTACGAACGCGGATATATTCGAGTTATTGCGAGTGAGGGAAAAGCAAAATACTAGTATAATAAAAGGAAAAGAGGATTCCTCATGTCAAACATTTGAATCTCAAAATAGGGTTACAAAACCTGAAGAACAGGGGAAGAATTGAAAATGTCTGTAAATAAAATTAAAAAATTATTTATCATTATTCATGGCACAAATAACATATTTCAAGTTGAATGAACAAAATGAAAGGTAAGAAATTGTTAGGTATCGATATTACTAATCACTTATTGTTACACTGGTAGCCGTTACGCAAAATAAGACAACTGATCAGTCAAGAAGGCTTAACAATACTAGATGTAGATAAAGTTAATTGCTGAACCACTAGAGTATAAAGGAATTATCAAAATTCCTTTAAATAGATTTTAGCTTATTATTTTATAGTCTTTCGCTTTTGTTTTATTTCTTGTATTTATCTTAATAAGATGTGCTAAATGTCAATGTACACATATACTTTTATAGGTGGATTTCATGCCTACTTACCATCTGAATTTGAGATTTCCACCCAAGAGTATCAAACATCTGCAGTACTACAGAACAATTCCAATCCCAGCATGAATGTCAATCTAAGAAGAGAGAGTATAAATTTTCTCTTCCCACAAAATCCTCTAAACTTTCAGCTAGCTGCCAGTAAACGTAACGAGAGAGATTTCATGGGATTGTTGGGAAATATGCTACCCAGCGAAAAATACCGTAGAAATTCTGAACTGATATTTAAGAGACGACCTAGAGAACCTAGACATGATTCGCCAACTAATCAAACAGAAAACGTTTCTGCAGCAGATACCATTCATAATTTCAAAAGACGAAAGAAAGAAAGTGACAACTATCATCTTTGGAAGTACTTAAAAAGAAATGCCAACGAATTATTTCTGAAACCACAAAGAAATAAATCAGAGAAGAATGAGTTTATTCCAGGAACTGCTATGTAACACTAAGGAATTTGGCTATTAAGGGCGAACATTTTATCAATTTAAGTTTTTAGAGTTAAGGGATTCTATCTGCTGTTAATTGTCAAGCTATGTCTACATTTTACACACTTAAATTTTTGTAAAGAACGTACACCATAAATGTTTTGCTCAGTTGTATTTCATGTGAATGAATACCTTTGATATTTTCTTGTAAGAAAAATGGCATAAACATCAACGTTCAGATAACAGATATGAAAATTCTAAATGAAATCACAGATTAATAAGATAATATAAGATCCTCAAATCAATGGGCAAAAGTTTAAAAAGTAAGCAATACCCACTTTTCATGCAGTCTGTTTGAGCAATTTCTATTCCTTCTCATCGATTCAGTTACTGAAAGATATTTTGTGGAAGTATTTTCGAGATCTTCAAACGGAAGGACACGAACTTTTTCTCTTAATTCATAGCAACACGTTTAACGGAAAAGACGAATTTATAAATCTAAATTTTTTTACTTATTTTCTACGTAAAAGAAAACAAAAAGGATGTACTGTCTCTTTTGTAGCACTATAAAAATCATAAAGCTTTCACTTTAGTTGAATATGAAAGTACTGCTGTCTGAATTCCGAATCTGACATGTTCTTTACTGTCAACTACTAATGCAAGGTTAAATGTGAATACAAGTTAAAATTAATCATTTAAAAAAATAATTAATTAAAAACTGAAAACTTTCAGATTTTACATTAAGCCCAAAGGGGCGTTTTTTTAACGTTATGTGTGTTACCTCTATTTATTACATATCACGTTCTTCGCACTTAAATTAAGGGAAAAGTATATTTAGGTGTTGTTTACTGACACCTAAATTTCGCGTGGATATGTGCATATAGAAATGAATGAAGTATAGAAATAACATACAAGAAAGTTAAATTATGACATTCTTTTCAAAGTATTTATTTTAAATACATAATAAACAATTTTCTTCAATTAAAAACTAACTATATTATATATTATTCGCCTATCCAATAAAATAAAAATTAAGGAAGAGTTTGAAAGTTTTCAGATTTGATATTACGCCCAAAAAGGCGTTCTTTTAACGTTTTGTGTGTTGCCTTTATATATTAAATACCATGTTCTTTGCACTTAAATCATAAAATTCAATTGAACAGCAATATCGCAAAATAATTCTAAAATGAGAATATCTTTAGAATTTCCGATACACAGTCTCACGCGCTGAAGATTCAAAAATGTATTTTTCCGTAAGGTTATGCTATTGCTCGCTTTGAAATCGTTTAGTTTATTAATCAAAAATTCGTTAAAGTTTTACAAAATTTTAAATAGATAATAGAACAAGTCCGAAATTCAAAATTCGGACTTCCATGTGCTCATGTTGGTTGGAGGATTACGTTATTCAAAATTGGATGGCTCTAGGTACCGTTGTTTCTTCACAAAGCGATAAACATTCATGCATTCATGAAGATTCTTCATTATTTAGTTTCTTTAACTATAATACATGGCGATAATGTTTGGTGGCAACAGTTTGAAAAGTGAATCGACACAAAATGCCGTTTTGAAATTAATAGCCCTTCTGGGCTAACGTCCTTTGGTTTAATTAAAACAAAGGGGAAAGTACGAGTATTTGACTATGTTGATATGAATTTAAAAAAAAAAACGTTTTTTCTAAATAAAACCTAATAAAATAATAAAATATAACCTAATAAACTACACATACCTAATAAAATATAATCCAAAATTGTGTGCCACAGATCTTTCTATTTATTGGAACAATAAATTAAATTTCGGTTACAAAAAACTAAACGGAAGTGATACTTTATTTAAAGCTCGTTGTCTTTAAAACATGGAATAGACGAGAGGTGATGTGTTGGCCACATCAGATTTTTTTGTAGTACATAAATTCGTGTAAGCTACATGATCTATGCAGGTCTAGGTGTCGCTGCACGAAGTTTATCTACTATCTTATGCAATTCCTGTACTACAGCCAAAATTTCGGATGCCGATGTAACATCATTTTCCACATTTAATTCTGTACTTCTTCTAATATCTGAATTATTACCTTTGCTAATCTTAGCATCCTCCAATTCCACAAGTTTAACTGTATTATCAGTCTTCTTACCAGATATCTGTATCGAGATCTCTTCCCTACTCATCTCCTCTTTTGTGTCGCTCATTGAAATTCCAATGTAGAAATGTATAATTACAATAAAATCGATTTATATTTACAAGATAAAATTACAGTCAATTAAAATTCCCCCATCAAAAACAAATGATTTGAATGTTCATGACCACTTATCGGCAGGGCTTAATTTCTAAGATTAGAAGTGCCGGAGCCCTATGGAAGACCATCAGCAAAAGGAACAAGAGTAAATAAATAAATAAAATGACTTTTAAACTCATTAATAATTTAAAAATTAAACAGTCAATTATTATCAAATAAATTAATGTTTATAAATTGTTATTTAATCAATAACTACAGTCAAAAGTCGTTAATTCGGACACCCATAATTTGGAATGATCTATAATCCGGACCTCAAAACTAAAAACTTTCTGCGCATGCGCTGCGTTGACACATGCGCATAGGCGTTTACGCGTGCGCGTAAGACTTTTTACGACTGCGCATATGAGGGTGCGCAAGTGCAGAATACGTTTTCGCGTGCGCGTTTTATGTATAATGGACGTATAAGCTAAAATTATCTATTTCAGTTAATGTTGATGATTGCGTTGTTCCTTAATTTTCGAATTGGATCCGGCTTATTATTTTTTGCAGACTGTAAGAGCAATTTTATAAAAGTAAGAAACTTTCGATTATATCAAATAGAATTTCCGATATATATTTGTCAATATGTAAAGGATCTAAAGGGAAAGTATGTTTTGAAATCCGAAATCTGTTTATCAATTTCACGCTGCTCGGCGGGGGGACGCCGCGGCGGGCGCGTAATGAATTGGAAGTTGATCTGTCAGCACTATCCTTAACTTCAGCGCAGATGTTTTTATTTTATTTGGCTTATAATTCCTTACCAAATGTAGTATTTCATCTCGATATGCTCTGTCTTTGATATGATTTAAAACAAGTTCCTCGTCATTATAATTCGCTTCCGATAGCGAAGAAAAGTGACAGAGGTTATTGAAAACGAAAAAATTTCGATTGACAAATTAGTCGGTGTTCTTGACACAGCAATTATAGGACTTGAACAGCGGAACTTTGTAACTGAACAAGAAATTTTGTCTGTTTAATAGAATTAAAGAGAAAGTATTGTTACATGAAACGAAGCAAAACTTAAACAACTTACATTGAAAGAAATGTTTAATAAAGTAAACAAATAAATATTAAGCTTTTTCTTTTTGCAAATTTTGATAACCTATAGATCATAATTGTTCTTCATAAATTACGATTTCATATTTTTAATTTTAGAATTTCTGCATGCCATCTTACGAGATTTAAACTGATAATCTATAATCCGGAATCGCCGAAGTCCCGACGAATCCGGATTAACGCCTTTTGACTGTATTATATAATTAATTAATTATAACTTGATAATTATTATATAAATAATTAGTTTTAATTTAATTGATAATTATTAGATAATTAACTATTATTTATTGAAATAATTAAAGATTGAAGTAATTAAAAAATTAAAATTAAATAAAATATAAAGAGATGAATTGAATTTAATAAGTGATTTTTAATATAATTTTATTGTTAAATTTTATTGTTAATTTTATTGTTAAAATAACATTTTCGAGATAAAAATTTCTACTGAAATTGTTATTCAATTACATCAAAGAAGTGCAGCAAGCCTTCTTATTCAGGGCTCCGGTGCGTTCCGACTAGAATTTTATTGTTAATTTTATTGTTAAAATAACATTTTCGAGATAAAAATTTCTACTGAAATTGTTATTCAATTACATCAAAGAAGTGCAGCAAGCCTTCTTATTCAGGGCTCCGGTGCGTTCCGACTAGAATTATGATTTATTACAAAAACTAAGAAGCACCGGAGCCGAAATCCTGTGGGCTCCGGCTCAATTTAAGCTCAGATCGTAGGGGTGAAAAAGTTATTTTATCATCACAAAAATTAAATATACTTAAAGTATAGTTGCTGAAAATTCCAGGACGAAACAGAATGAGGGTATGAGTGGGTGAAAACAAAAAATGAGGGGAATCTTGGTGAGAGAGAACGTTCTCTTTGACCGCGGCTCTCTGCTGATATAATTATACCCATAAAGCAGATGTGTATCAGGGGTAAAATGAGTCCTGAATCTGACTCCTAAGGATGAATGTAAAATTGCTGTTTACGCTTTCCATTGCATTCGCTGATAATGCACATTTAAGAACACAAATTTTCCTTCCTGCGAGGATAACTAACCATCGATAACAATACACTAGATACGATGGCATGGCGAGAAATTTACGCGTTCCTAAACAAACTCCTGCAAATTTATTGCCCTTCTTAAAGGGAAAGGTTTCCGCATGTGAGTGACGGGACTTTACTTGAACATCTCATGTTCTCATGAGTTCGTATTTCTAGGGAAATAGAGTATTGCAAAGTCTGCTTATTGTTAAATTAAAACGTTAGGAATTCTAAATTTTTTATTCCCTTTAAATTATGGTTCAGTTTTATAAAAAGAAGTACCGGAGCTCATCTTATTTAGGGCTCCGGTGCGCTCCGGCTAAAATTGTAATTTATCTTAAAAATTGAGAAGTATCTGAGCCGGGCTCCGGTGGGCTCCGGCGCAATTTAAGCACTGCTTATCGGAGGGTATATAATTCCTCAAATCATCACAATTACTTCATTATAAGTTCTTAAACTCTTGAAACAAATTCTTAAAATCACAAATTTGTTTGAAATCTGGGGAAAAAATTCCACATTCTAAAAGTCAGAAGCGTTTATGGTCTTTGAATGAGTACACAATGGCAAGCTGTGATAAAAAAAAAAAAAAAAAGAAAAGAAAAGAAAAGAAAAGAAAGAAAGAAAAGTTAAAGGAAAAGTGTGATTTTTTCAAGAAATCTTTATTTTTTTGTTCTACATAAGGGTAAGACAGTTTGCCTTATTTGCAACGACAATGTAGCTTTGATGAAGGAATACAGCATTAAGTAGACATTATGATCGCAAGCACAGTGAGAAATATTCTGCATTGGAAGATCATTTTCGAAATAATAAGGTGAGTGAACTAAAACCAAAATTAAATTTTCAACAGTCTTCACCACAGTGAATAAAGAAACTGAAAATAGTGTTCGTGTTAGTTACTGTCTGTCTACGAGAAGATCATAGTGATGCCGAACCCAATGTTAAAGCCAAATTTCATTTTTCAAGGATTTCCACGGAACTAGTCCATGGAAAATTGCAATTTTTTGCGTGTAGTAGAATACCTATGCCGCCTTTCACTTCCATCAAAAACGGTGACTTTTAGCGATTGCTTAAAATTTTACCAAATTTTGAAAAATCAATAAAAATAAAAATTCAGAAGACATTAAAAAACATCAAGAAGCAAAATGTTTTTCTCGAAACTATCATTTAAAAGAATTTTGTCACTAGCCCAATTTGGACCGGCGATACATATGGGTGTCACAACCCA